AAGAATATCAACTGTCTCGTTTAAAGTCATCATTTGGCATGTTTTGTGGTCGATACAATGACCTTGTCAGCAAATACAATCTATCATGTCAAATGCTGACATTTTTCATACTGATTGATAGGCCATTAATCAAACACTGAATTGTCTACGGATTTTTCCATTTTTTTTCGACCATGACAAGGAGAACACGGCGGGTGTGACAGTTCAGCAGGGGATGCTCCTCCGTGGCACCTGATCCCACCTCTGATGCTTTATAGGTCTGTGTTTGCTCTGCTCCTAATTTGTGTTGTTTGAATGGACTTTTGAGCATGAATACTGTTCGTTATCTCCATATTTCATTGCAACAATATGCAGTGCTTTCCTTTAACAATGGCAGCGAATATATTATTAGGTCTCCATTATGCAAAATCACTGGTCCGGAACTTTTGCAGGCCCACAATGTAAACTGATCAGTGAGCGAACAATAATGTCTGAGGATTTAATTTCAACATTCTTTCTACCACTCTTGTGTATATATATGTAATATTTCCCAACATAAGAAAAACTAGAAATATATTCATAGGACATGAATGCCCCGCCGAGGGTATATTAGTAATACAAAATGAAAAATTGTATAAGTGTATGAAACTTGATGAGGATCTTTAAAGTTGAAATTGAAATCTAAAAGATGCATATAGATAAATTTTTACCAAATTATGTATTAGTGCATAAGCTTACATAAATATATCTTAAATGGTTTCTCTAAAATTAAGCACAATGTAAATTTAAGAAAAGTGAGGTCAAGGTCACAGGAAAGTTCAAGGTCAACCGTTTTTGATGCAGTTGAATATTTCTCACAAATACGTATCAGCATATTAAGTTTGATAAAAATATTTTGAATGGTTTATTTAAAACTGAGCTAAACACTAATTTAAAATAAATGAAGTTAAGGTTAAAATAAAGGTCAAGGTCAAAAAAGTTTGATCCAGTTGAAAAGGTTACATCAGTATGTATAAGCATATGAAGTTTGATAAAAAATATTATGAATGATTTCTTTAAAACTGAGTTAAACACAAATTGAGAGAAGTGAGGTCAAGGTCAAAGGAAAGGTCAAGGTCCGAAAATATTGATGCAGTTGAATAGCTTACACCAGTATGTATCAGCATATGAAGTTTGACTCTAATTTAAGAAAAGTGAGGTCAAAGGAAAGATCAAGGTCAAAAAATGTTGATGCAGTTGAATAGCTATCATCAGTATGTATCACCATATGATGTTGACAACACTATATTGAATGGTTTCTTTAAAACTGAGTAAAACACTAATTTAAGAAAAAGTGAGGTCAAGGTCAGAGGAAAGGTGAAGGTCAAAAAATATTGATGCAGTTGAATAGCTCTCATCAGTATGTATCAGCATATGAAGTTTGATAAAAATATCTTGAATGATTTCATTAAAACTGAGCAAAACACTGATTTAAGAAAAGTGAGGTCAAGGTCAAAAAATGTTGATGCAGTTGAAAAGCTTACATCAGTATGTATCAACATATGAAGTTTGATTTCACTATCTTGAATTGTATCTTAAAAACTGAGCTAAACACTAATTTAAGAAAAGTGAGGTCAAGGTCAAAGGAAAGGTCAAGGTCAAAAATGTTGATGCAGTTGAATAGCTTACATCAATATCTATCAACATAAGAAGTTTGATTACACTATCTTGAATGGTATCTTTAAAACAGATCTAAACACTAATTTAAGAAAAGTGAGGTCAAGGCCAAAGGAAAAGTCAAGGTAAAAAAATGTTGATGCAGCTGCATAGCCCTCATCAATATCTATCAGCATATGAAGTTTGATAAAAATATCTTGGATAGTTTCTTTGAAACTGAGCTTTGAACAGAGCTAAACGCAAAGTTTGACGGAAGGACAGACGGAAGGACGGAAGACGGAATTAAATGATAAACGGCCATATTCATGGCGGGGCATAAAAATAATTATTTGTGTGTCTTAAACATACCGCCATAGGAACGCCTTTAAAATAAAATTCTTTTTTAGAGAAGAGGCAAGATGTTCACGAGAATTGCATTTGTGTAGTTGCAAACAGGGTCAATGTATCGACCATAGAAGTTGCAAAATATTAATTTTAAGGACCCTCTATACACCGATGAAAAATGTTTTTGAACTTTGAGAAAATTATAGAGCGTAAAGGAGGTTATTTTGAAATTAACTAACCCATTTTTAATATAGGGAGCGTGCCTTTTTTATTCAGGAAAAATGTTCAAAGACAATGAAGTAATAATGAAGAAAAATTGCCTTTGCTTACTCAAATGGATAAAATACATGTAAATAAAGTTTTCAAATACTCTATTTTGGTCTAATAAAATGTTTAGAATACTTAGATTTATTTCAAATTATGTAATACAGTTCAGATTACAATTTATTCTATCCATATGTCAAATGTTGGGTCAGTCTAATTACACAAAAGTACCCTGAAAATAGGGTGCAGTGTAGAGAGGGTCCTTAATCGAGATTGTTAATATCTTTTTATCATCGACTTATTTGTCAATAACATGCCTCGTATTAGAAAATGTTCGTGCATGGAACATGCCTTTGCAAATCGAAGCAAAGGAGACATAAAATCTCTATGCAGATGAGAATGATATATTCCTACATAAATTACAGAAGTTGACGATAGAAAAGTTGAATGCTTCGAGTTTATCATTAGGGTCAGACGATACGTTCCTCAAATGTCTGTTTTGTATACCTTTGAATTATTTGGAAAATATTCAAAATTTTAATTACCTTCTGATTTCTAAACTGGTTTCTAATTGTCTTAAAAAAATGAAACACCAAAAACATGTGTTATTGGCTAATTAAGTTTTTTCCCAAGGGATTTTATAGGAAAAACATCCTCTGGTATCTTGCACAAATGCCTGGTAAGGTATCTCAATTTTTTGCGAGTAAACATGTTAAAGTAGCAATACTTCAATGACAAAATCTTAGAAAAAATTATATACTATTGAGGAACGTATCGTCTGTCCTTAAGTTAAGTTGTAAATTTCCAAACAATGTCTTTCTCTACTAAAATATCCAAATATGAATCAGATGTGTCTCCGACTCTGTAGTGTCTTTTATTTCGAGTTCAATTGGATATATCGAATCAAAGCAAGGATGGAAATGAATATTGTCAATTGATAGAACATCGGCGATATTCTAGCTACATGTAATATCGTTAATTGATAGAACATCGTCGATATTCTAGCTACATGTAATATCGTTAATTGATAGAACATCGTCAATATTCTAGCTACATGTAATATCGTTAATTGATAGAACATCGTCGGTATTCTAGCTACATGTAGTATCTACATGCCAATGTAAAAATGAAGGCAAGAAACTTCTTTTCATGTAGAATTTTTCAAATAAACCCTGCTTCATAAGAATACAAATCAGGTAATACCCATGTGAATTCCAACATATTTTAGGAAGACCTAGTCTCCGAAAGCTACATAAATATTGTCAATGAAAACTCAAGCATCATTTTAATATCAAACCGGAGTACTTATTTGTAGAATCAGACTTTTTTAGGACTAAAAAAGTTTGAATATGAAAATGACAAGGTATGCAACTTACGAGTTCCATTTTTATTGAAGAAAAAGTTGTCCATGGTGTCAAAAAGCCTGGTCTATAATTTATCGTGGTGAATGGTTTATCATGTGTTGAAAATTAAACTTGTACGTTTTGATGCTACATGTACCGACTTAGAAAATTGCGGTTTCAAACTTTCTAAAATTTAATTCGAGTTTTTGAGTATCCACATTTGATTAACATATAATTAACGTCTCAAATATGTTATTGTACAGTACTCCTGAAGTTTCTCCTTCGTTGCTGTTAATATTTTCCTGAGGCGTAAAAAAGAGGCTTGATAGAACATTTTGCTAGAATCCGCTATGTCTATGAAGTTTAGGAATCCAGTATACGTATGTAATTTGAATTCAATTTGGTTGTTGAGAATATTTTTAAAATATTTAAAACCGACACATGCTTTTGAAGAGTTTCCTTTTTAGAAAGTGAAACATGGGTACAAGTTATTGCAATAAAGAACCAAACAACTTACAAAGACTATGTTGTCACCGGCTTTGTCAGCTGGGACTAGTACATTTTGATCATGCATGTAATCCATTTTTTTCTCTTCTGAATCATTGAAGACAGAAGAATAGATGGTTTTCATTCTGGCCCTCAACCGTTTAATAAGAAATTTCTACATACCTCTCATACGTTCAATCCATTCTGACAAAATGTCAAGGTCTCTCCATTCATATTTGACAGATCGTCTGGCATAATCTTCGACAAAAAATGTAGTCACCAGTTGAAGGATCGGAATTCTCTAAAATTTGCTTTTTTTTTTTCTTTTTTACATAACAATGTGATTGTAGATCCTCATGTATAATTGACGCTCCACCAGTAATGACGTGTCCAGTAGGACTATAGGGAGAAGAACATGATCACGTAGAAGGATTATTTATCTTTTTAAATATGATTTTATTTTTATTTTTTTTGGGGGGGGGGGGGTATATATTTGGTTTGAAAGCAAAAATCAATGAATATTTGTAAACACAAGGTGTGGGCTTCAACTTAAAGCCTGGACTGCAAGGTAGTCCGAAATAGCTGATATTTTCCGGGCGTTTTTCACGATTTTGATATTCACTGAATATTTGTAAAAAATACAAGATGTGCACTTCAACTTAAAGACTGGACTGCAAGTAGTCCGAAATAGCTGATATTTTCCGGGCGTTTTTCACGATTTTAATATTTTACGTGCCTGGAAAACATCAGATATTTCAAACAAGACTGCAGATTGAAAACTTCAATCAAGATACATTCAAGTTATGACCTGGACATACAGACAGGTAAGGCAAAAAGGTAATCAGGCGAAAATCAAACATCTACTCTTATCAATGATCTGCATTTTTGCGCTCATTATCAAGTTTATAAACAGCTTCAAAGACTTTGATATATACATGTAATAGAATATTCAGTTTAGCAACAGTTTATTTATAAATCATTGAAATATTTAAACAAGTACAAAAAGAATAACAACACTTGTAAATATTGCACAAAATTACAATTAATATACAAATGGAAAAGTAACTATGTATCACAACTTTTCAATAGTTGTATGTGCATTGCATTGTAATAACACCCCTCCCCTCACCCACGTTTGGTTTTGTTCCACCAGTATTTCAGTTCTCCCACGAAGAATATCACATTTTCCCCAATACTCTGTTATAGTGCTGCTTGATTTCACCACTCCCACCCCTATCTTTTTCAAATCTTAACTGTTTAATTTGTAATGACATTTGTCAGCAATGTTATGCATTGATTTGACTTTTAATTTTGTCTGTGTCTCTTTTTCTTGCCTTACTAGAATTATTCAATCTGTTAAATGCAATGTGGATGGCTTGGATAATATTGGGGCGAAAAAAAAGTTATGCATAAAAATAACTGTACAAAAACTACTGATCTATATATATTGTTTTCGTTACCTGTTGATGAATTGGCAGAGCTTTTACATATATGATAAATGTATCAATTATATTATTATAACAAATGTGCATTATCAAATAATGCTTTGCATAAAAGAAAATTATACAAATTCATATGATATACACAGTTACCTGTTCCATTCGTATATGATCAAAAAACTCATATAAAACAATATTCGTTAACAACACTGTCAAGGTTTGCAAAATCTTAAATAAAGTGCAAAATACAGTAATAACACAACCATAACCCAATGAAGAGATATATTTTACAAGGTACTTCTATATTGTTGCTAGTTCAAGAACAGTTTCATTCTGTGCATTAATGGTATGTCTAGAAAGTACCATATTTATATTTCAAACATCTTCCGATTCTCGGTTTGATTGTCGGACTTGAATACAAATATGATATCTCACTTCATTTGAAAAGGCTATAAGCAAAAGCTACAAAGATTCAACATTTTCAAATATAGAAAGTACCAGTAATGTGAAAAATCTCTCATTTTATACTACCTAGCTTGCATTAACATCGCATATTTTAATTCGATCTCTACAGGTTTTATTTTCGCCTCTGAACTGCATAACAAACCTGTGAAATTAACACTTTAGGGAAACCAATTTCAATAAATCATTAAAGAATAAAAATCTGAAGCCTAACGAGGTGAAATCATATTTGGCCATGAAAATGCACAAATAACTGTGAGCAAAATCAAAGGCATATATGGTAATCTGTTATTGTTTGAATGCAAGCTAGTTCAAAACTAGATCATTATAACTCATGAGCTGCTTGGCTTGATTGAATACAATATTCAAATACACAACTTGATTGCACTGTTTAAAATACAAAATTGATTTTATTATAACACAGGTGTAAATGGAAATTGGAATCTAAAAAGTATACTAAGCAAACTCATTGATTTTGATTTTTTTTAAATTCTCTCATTTCTTTCAAACTTTTCTGCACTTTGTAGTACATTGTGTACTAGAATCATATCACAAAATTCATTGGTTTAATGACTGTTACATCAGATGCATCACTTGAATTCTCCGGCAAATGGAATGGGTTGAGAACGGTTTGTCCATCTTTCATTCATTGTTTTGTATGCTGTAGGTAGCTTCTCAAAGTCATAAAAAGCAAGGTTATCAAGCAACTCAAACACACCAGCATTTACAGCCACCTGAAAATACATCAGTTGTTGGTCTATAGTAAAGAAAAATTACTAAATCTTATAGTGAAAGTTAATAAAATTACATTCATCCCTATATTTTCTTGTACAGAGTTTAAAAATTCCAAGTTATCAATTTTAAAATGAATAAAACATCACAAAATAAAATTAATAATATATCATAAAATGTATGCAACGTATGACCCTCCCTTTATTTACAATGAAAAAGATCCAAAGATTGAAAAGAGGAAGTCTGCTTATTGTAGCTAGAAATAATATAAATACTGTATACAGGGTTATTTTCAGCCCATGTTATTTTTGCCCTATCACACTTGCAAACAATTTTTCCACATTTTAAATTTGCCCAAAACAGTTGAGTTTAGAAATAATGCTATCTTCTTTAAATTCACCGTTTCAAATTTGCCCACTTCGACCAAGGCAAAAGGGGCAAAAATAACATGGGGACGAAAATTTCCCTATATATAGTATATGTGTACACCAAACAATATAAAGTTATGTACAAGTAAGTTGGGTACCTCTCTCATCCACTGGGAAAATGTTCGCCGCCATTTGATTTTCTTGTCATATCTTAGATACATGTTAAACAGGATCAGGTAAATATAGCGCTCCAGTGCCTCCAGACTTTGTCTCTTCAACTGTTGCTTTTCTATTTCTGACTTTGCTTTAGTTATCTGGACAAAAGTTTTATAATCTTACTCAATTGAAACTATGTTTGAATGTTTATCCAAAATGTTCAATTATGAAAATTTTCATCCTAATAGGCTTTTTTAAGTGTTGGAAGGAAAAAAATTTAACTCGTTCCTTATTTTTCAAAATAAAAAATTTAGTTTTCAAAAATACCTTATTGTATGTTACAAATATCACTTCTCGAATATGAAAATGCATGGGCGACATGGTTTCAAAACACTCGTCTAAAATGAAGTCCACTTCCCTTTTAACTTGTTGACCATTTGGCAGCAACCGTACAAGCTTTTGAACAATCTGAGAACCAAATTCATGATACATTTTATTACTGTTTAGTCTTAGCTAGACAAAGAAAGATAACTCTTTGATTAAATCTTAAAAGAATCTGGGGGGATAAGACGAGCCATGTGCCCATGCCCATTTTTCGGCTATGCAAGAACATTTATTGGAAAAAATCTCTCAATTGTTCGAATTTACTTAAGCATTTTAATGTTTACCGTAGTTTTCAAAATGATATTTATATACTAAACAAGCTAAACAGTTGACTTTCATTTACTGACACAAATGTCTAACATGGGTAAGGACTTCTATTAATTAATCTGCATATTGAGTGTTTACACTTATTGTGGAGATATTATAATAATGTTAACATCGTATATAATGATAATGGTGATCTAGAAGCGCTTTTATTTAAAATAAATAAAACGGGAATAAAAGTATTCAAATATCTATTATAATTTTTATCCGGCATTTTAAATAATTTACTGTAAATAAGTTCATTACTACATGTATATATTTTATTTCCAGTGAAAAATATGTTATTCCTATAGACATTTTTTATAAAGTAAAACAAAATTAAAACCAAAAAATTCAAAAAAAAAAAAAAAAATCAGAGCATGACTCGAACACTTTCCTCAATAAACGTCCCTTTAAAGAGCTCATCGCTAACCACTAGACCACGGAGTCACACTAACATTTCCATTTAAATAGCATACAGTTCTCTATATTTAGCAAGCGTTTTTGGACTTAGAATTTTTTAAGACCACGGTGAAAATTTAAGTAAGTTAACTTAATTTTTATGTAGAGTGGGTCTTCATACCAAATTTTTGCAAGTGTAAAAAGCAACATCTTTCCATTGCCTTTCATTAATCGTTCTCAAAAAAATGGTACTATGACCCACTCTATTTAAAAAATGTAGTTATATCATCCAATTTATGTCAGTTTCTGTGAAAATTGAGCGTGATGCCATTTTGTTGTGTTAATCAGAATCATTTTCGCTGTTACAGTATTCAGGTTTTGTCAAATTTATATGCAAATGGTAATAAGCATTACATTAATTCAACAAAAAGTGAAATTTTTGTAAAATGAATTTATTGATTTTTTATCGATCGTTATGTAGGCATATGACTCGGCTTATCCCCCCAGTTTCTTTAATACCATAAAGTCTCCTTTGGTATACTGGGCATTTGGACATGAAACTCTCTCTTGCTCTCCAAGATTTGCTCCTTTTGGAAAACCCTGATAATGAAACATTTTGATAAATTCATTAAATATTTTATAAGAGATTATCAACATATATTTTCATAAACATAGAAGTGGATCTGTAGTAAATTTTGTTGATCATGTTCCTTATAATTATTTGAAGTCAAACTGAAAAATACATCTTCTATAACTTGGTTCCAGTAAATTTTGCACTGTAAAGTTACAAAGCTTCTTTTCAATATTTTTCAATATTTCAAATGAGACTTAAGACCATCAGACGAGGCATGATATAGTGCACCTTTGCATTTGCAACTCTCGTTCATCTCATTTTGAGAATTTCCAGCTTCCACGAAATTTTTATATGACTATATATTGAATAGGGTTACTTTCAATTTCAAAGTAATTTCGAAAATGCCCATGAAACTATTTCAGATGGCAGATCAAAGAAATTTTATCCCCACGAAAATTTGTGCTTCTACAGTATTATTAACATATATGACATATTTAATGGTGAATCTTACAAAGTTTGCTTTTATATAGTTTTGGTATATATATTATTGTATTGTTCATTATAATTATGTATTAACTGTGTTAGTGTTGGTATATATGGAAAAAGTTGAACAAACCAAAAGTCTCTGACGAGACTGTAGCTCTACTGGTTTGTACTTAAAGTAGCACGTGGACTTGAAACTTTGCAACAGCAATATACAAAGAATAATGATCCTTGGTGTAGTCTCTTTTTGTTTTATTGAGATTTTTGTATTATTAAGATTTATTGCAATCAGACTAAAACTGTAGAAGGAGTAGCCTTTTAAAAGAATTTTACAGAAATTTCAATTTTAGTAACCATGACATCATTCAACAAAATCAAAAAACAATAAAGACAATTTGGTATCATAGTGTACTCTACTTGTGTGCCAAGTTATACTGAAATCAGAGCAAAACTGTAGGAGGACTAGCATTTTGAAAGTATTTCAAGGAAATTTCTATTTTTAGTAACAATGGCAACACCGTTCATCGAAATCAAAAACCGATATACAGAATTATGTATCTTAGAATAGTCTACTTGTGAGCCAAGTTACACTGAAATCAGACCAAAACTGTAGGAGGAGTAGGGTTTTAAAAGAGTTTCACAGAAATTTCTATATTTATTAACCATGGCAACACCGTTCATCGAAATCAAAAATCGATACACAGAATTATGTATCTTAGTGTAGTCTACTTGTGTGCCAAGTTATACTGAAATCAGAGCAAAACTGTAGGAGGAGTAGCGTTTTGAAAATATTTCAAGGAAATTTCTATTTTTAGTAACCATGGCAACACTGTTCAAAGAAATCAAAAACCAATACACAGAATTATGTATCTTAGTGTAGTCTACTTGTGTGCTAAGTTATATTGAAATCAGACCAAAAATGTAGGAGGACTAGCATTTTGAAAGTACTTCCCAGAAATCTCTATTTCTAGTAACCATGGCAACACCATTCATCGAAATCAAAAACGGATACACAGAATTATGTATCTTAGTGTAGTCTACTTGTGTGCCAAGTTATATTGAAATCAGACTAAAACTGTACGAGGAGTAGCATTTTGAAAAATTGTTTACAGACGGACAGACAGCTAGACAGTTAGACGGACGGACGACGGACACATTACTATCGCATAAGCTCTTCTGGTCTCTGACCAGTAGAGCTAAAAAAGGGGGAAATACTTCACCAATACAGAAAGTCTGAAAAGTTGCAAACTTTATTCTTTATGTATAATTTACTTGATGTTTCACTGACACAAATTTCCTGAATAATAGTATACATGTGTGTTGTTTTACCCTTAGATGACACATGATTAGACCAGTAACAGCCAAGGCCAGGGTGGTGCGGCTTTTCCCTGTCCGACAATAGTACACAATAGCCGTCTTGTTGCATTCCTGATCGTCACTGAAGCCATTTTTATGTATCACAGTCATTAAATCATCAAAGTCCTGGAATACATAAACAAGTACATATTACAATCACAGTTAGTAATCTTTATTGATGGTTATAAGACTACCATCTTGCGCAGTCAATATGCTTCTCAAAGGTCTAGATATATCTTGGATTGACCTCATCAAGAAGTTATATTTTAGGGATAACAATTTGTAACCAGTTAACTGGTTACTCGGTCTGAATGATGGAATTGGTTGGAAAATCTATAATCAGTCAAAAAAAATTAACTGTCGGACTTCACAAATGACCAGGAAATTAACATTCTAAAGGACAAGATAGGCTAAGACCCCTTTTTGGCCCCTGGTTTGGGGTGTCTTTTAGAATAATGCAACAGTTTATCAATAAAAACCTGTTGTCACCCCTGTCATAAAATGAGTATTGGTTCTTAGCTATGGGATACACAGAGGTCACAGGAAGGTCAGAAAATATGTCAATTTTCAAATTTTCTCATTGTTTGCAAATTTTTATCGATTTTATAGCACATTTTGTTTCAGAAAACATAGAGCACAAGATTGCCTCACGCCTCTACCAAATTTATATGTTTCATACACTAGTATCAGATGCATCTTGTGTATAAAAATCTCAGATAGGCAAGCTTGTGCTCTATGTTTCCCAAAGTGAAAATTTGATGAAATTCCACCAAAATTGAGGAAATTCGGGAAAATGTCCTACTTCTGCACCCTCTTGTGCCCTCCATGTAAGCTTTGAATCAAAATTAGTGCTGGTTTTAAAAGAAGCATCATTTTAAATTCTTAACTACAAACTACAGCAATTTTAACTGTGTTCTGTTCAAATAAGGGGCCAGATTTGGCAGTTACCATACCTTGTCCTTTTCAAATCATTAGACTTTTACACTTAACAGTATTTCCTACACTATATATCTCGTATACACTAGTTCATAGAATGTTTCATTTCCTGGTCTTTTGTGACATCATGCTGACAGTTAGCCTCACTGACCTGTTCTGTTGGTGTGGTATCATATTGTAGAGGCACTCTAAAGTACTGCATGTCCAGAGTCTGCAGTTTCTGATTCTCTGCCAGCTCCGACGATGTCAGCACACTGTTAAATTCCCGCTCCACAGGCTCGTCAGATAACTCATTGTATATCTGTCAGAATTTCGTCAGATAACCATTTGTATATTTGTCAGAATATCGTAAGATAACTCATAATTATATCTGTCAGAATATCATTAGAAACTCATTGTATATCTGTCATAATATTGTCAGATAACTCTTTGTACATCTGCCAGAATATTGTCAATGATTGTAACTAGATGTGTCAGGGTATGTGACACGAATGCCCCCCCCCCCCCCCCCCCCCCCCCAAAGTTTTAAATATGTGGAAATCCTAGAGTGTAAAAATAACAAGAGGCCATGGGCCACATTGTTCACCTGAGCACTGTGGCTAGGAAAAAAGCAATAAATCAGTTCAATATTGAAAAGCTTTAATACATAGGGGTCCCGAACTATCCCTAAAAGGGGGGGGGGTATGATTTCATAATTTGAAAAAAATTGAACCCACACTAATTAAAGATGCTTACATATTTCTTTGACTAACTGTGACTTTATTCCGACAAGTTTGAACTTTCATTATGGTCCCTACCTACACGCAGGGGTCATGATTTGAACAAATGTGAATCTACAATATCTGAGGATGCCTCCATATAAATATGACCAATCATGCCTTTGCTGTTCTTGAGAAGAAGATTTTTAAAAAAATTTCCTATGTATTCCTATGTATATAATAGCTTCAATCATAAATTGTGGCCCCACCCTATCCCCAGGGGGTCATGCTTTGAACAAACATGAATCTACACTTCCTTAGGATACTTCAGAATAGTATTTACCAATCACGGCTTTGCTGTTATTGAGAAGAAGATTTTTCTTATATACTCTGATGGTCCATTGTTGCCCTTTCCTACCCCCGGGGGTCATGATTTGACCAAACATGAATCTAAATTACTAGAGAATATGACCAATCATGGCTTTGCCGTTATTCAGAAAATTTTTAAAGATTTTTCCTATATATTCTTAAGTATAACTTTGACCTTCCATTGTGGCCCCACCCTACTCCCGGGGGTCATGATTTGAACAAAGTTGAATCTTCACCACCTGAGGATGCTTCTATATAAATATGACCAATCATGCCTTTGCTGTTTCTTGAGAAGAAGATTTTTAAAGATTTTTCCTATATATTCCTATGTAAAATTTTGATCGTTCATTGTGGCCCCACCCTACCCTCTGAGGTCATGATTTGAACAAACTTTAATCTACACTACCTGAGGATGATTCCACATGAGTTTCATCTTTCCTGGCCCAGTGGTTCTCGAGAAGATTTTAAAAGATGCCATTAATTTTTCACTAATTTGTAATTATCTCCCCTTGGAAGAGGGCATGACCCTTCATTTGAACAAACTTGAATCCCCTTTACCCAAGGATGCTCTGTGCCAAATTTGTTTGAAATTGGCCCAGTAGTTCTGGAGAAGAAGATGAAATTGTGAAAAGTTTACAACTACAGAAAACAGACAAATTTCAGAAAAGCTCACTTTAGCCTTCGGCTCAGGTGAGCTAAAAATGGGTCAATCAGCCAAATACTTATATTTGATCTGTAAGTCATCAATATCAAGAGATCTGACATACAAACAAGAGGCCCAAGGGCCTTAACAGTCACCTAAGTATAATACAACAATTTAGAAGTTAAATACACTGATAGATGAAGCTTTGTTGCCCTAAAGCAAGAGAAGTAGGAAGATCAGGATCAACAAAATAATTAGTCTAGTATTCAGTATCAACTCATAAATTAAGTTCTAATCTGTCCCCCACTTAACACTATCACCATGCAGACTATTAACAAACTATTAGTGCTTCTGTACTATTTTTAAACCCATATTAAGACCTCTAGCATTGACCTCTCTTATGGTCTTTGAAGAACTTTTAATAAGATAAGTTATTTTTGTCTCGTTTTTATTTATCTATTACTTACAGGTCTGCCTGATTGTTAAAACTAAGAAAGTACTTTTTGAATTATACGATAAACATTCTTGCATAATTATCTTATTCTATTAACCTTTCAAATACATTATTTACAGTGATTAATTATCAAAGGTGAATGGAAAAGGGGAATAACTTCTCTCAGTAGAATACAAATTAATAGAGCCCTGTCCAGGACCAGAATGCTTAGACAAATGGTCCAGATGTTCAAAAATCTGGTAGAAATACGCTTACTTATATCATTTAAACTTTTACTCAGTTTGCTTCTGATATGCCCAGAAGCAGAGAAGAATTTCACATGTACAATGCATTTTCACTACAGATTCAACAAAGCCTTACCCTAACACCAGAACCCAAGACCAAAGGTCAAGAAATTTAAAAATTTGGAAGAGTTATCCTCATCATCATAACTATGGACTACAAAGAATTAACGCTTTTCCACTATATTATCAAAAGCCCCCCCCCCCCTCCTCGTTATGCCAGAACCCCTGACCCTAGGACCACAAGATTTAAAAATTCTGTTCGAAGCTCCCATTTTCATCATAGCTAAGCAATTTATTAATCAGCTCAACACTAAGGAGCAGACAGGATTAATTAATGATTAATTAATAGAATTAATGCATTTTCACTATATAATCAATAGAGCCCCCCCCCCCCCCTTCAAGAACCCCAAAAACTGAGGCCATATATTTAAAAATTTTGGAAGAGGCATCCTTGCCTATCATAATCATGCACTTAGTTTGTTTAAATAATCTCCAGTAGCAAAGAAGAAGATTTTCATAGAATCAATGCATTTTCACTATATAATGAATAGAGCCCCGCCCTAACACCAGACCTGACCCTGGGGCCATGAAATTAACAATTTTTAAAAAGGCATCCTTATGCATCATAACCATGCACTTAGTTTGTTTAAATAATCTCCAGTAGCAGAGAAGAAGAATTTCAAAGAATCAATGCATTTTCACAATATAATCAATAGAGCCCCACCCTAACACAAGAACCCCTGACCCTGGGGCCATGAAATTCACAATTTTAAAAAAGGCATCCTTATGCATCATAACCATGCACTTAGTTTGTTTAAATAATACCCAGGAGCAGAGAAGATTTTCAAAGAATTAATGCATTTTCACTATATAATCAATAGAGCCCCGCTCTAACACCAGAACTCCTGACCCTGGGGCCATGGCTTTCACAATTCTGGAAGGGGCCCACCTCCTCATCATAACTATGTACTTAGTTTATCACCTTAATGCCCAGGAGCAGAGGAGAAGATTTTCAAAGAATTAATGCATTTACTATATAGTCAAAAGAGCCCCGCCCTAACACCAGAACCTCTGACCCTGGGGTCATGAATTTCACAATTTTGGAAGAGGCTCTCTTGCTCATCATAACTATGTACTTAGTTACTTAATTTAATACCCAGGAGCAGAGAAGATTTTCAAAGAATTAATGCATTTTCACTATATAATCTATAGAGCCCCGCCCTAACACCAGAACCCCTGACCCTGGGGCAATGAATTTCACAATTTTGGAAGAGGTACTCTTGTTCATCATAACTATGTACTTAGTTACTTTATTTAATACCCAGGAGCAGAGAAGAAGATTTTCAAAGAATAAATGCATTTTCACTATTTAATCAATAGAGGCCCGCCCTAACTACTTTATTTAATACCCAGGCGCAGAAAAGAAGATTTTCAAAGAATTAATGCTTTTTCACTATATAATCTATAGAGCCCCGCCCTAACACCAGAACCCCTGACCCTGGGGTCATGAATTTCACAATTTTGGAAGAGGCACTCTTGCTCTTCATAACAATGTACTTAGTTACCTTATTTAATACCCAGGAGCAGAGGAGAAGATTTTCAAAGAAATAATGCACTTTCACTATATGATCTATATAGCCCCATCCTGGGGCCAGAACCCCTGACCCTGGGGCCATGAATTTCACAATTTTGGAAGAGGTACTCTTGCTCATCATAACTATGTACTTAGTTACTTTATTTAATACCCAGGAGCAGAGAAGATTTTCAAAGAATAAATGCATTTTCACTATATAATCTATAGAACCCCGCCCTAACACCAGAACCCCTGACCCTGGGGCCATGAATTTCACAATTTTGGAAGAGGCACTCTTGTTCTTCATAACTATGTACTTAGTTACTTTATTTAATACCCAGGAGCAGAGAAGAAGATTTTCAAAGAAATAATGCACTTTCACTATATGATCTACATAGCCCCACCCTGGGGCCAGAACCTCTGACCCTGGGGCCATGAATTTCACAATTTTGGTAGAGGGCTCAATGCTTATTACAATGATGCCAACAGTTTGACTGCTTGATGTCCAGGAGTAAAGAAGAAGATTTTTAAAGATTGCATTATTTTTGGTGGTTTTAGCCCCACCCCTCAGGCCCCAGGGGGCAGGGACCATGAAATTCACAATTTTTGTTCCTCTTCACCCATAGATGCTATATGCCAAATTTGGTTGAAATTGGTTAAGGGGTTTCAGAGAAGAAGCTAAAAATGTTCAAATGTTAATGCACGACACACTCTGACGGACAAGAACGGATAGCAATAGGTCACCTGAGTGACTCAGGTGACCTAAAAATCACCTCATTATCTACAAGCACAACAAAAACAGTAAATTATCAGAGATATTCAAACTCTACAAGGCATAATTTTTGTAAAAATGGGTCAATTAGTATAAAACTTGAACTTGTTCTGCAAGTCATCAATATCAAGATGTAGATCGACATACCAATATTCAGCTCATTATCCTATGTTGCAAAGATAAAAAGTCCAGAAAACTAAAGTTCGATGACAGAATAAGGGGGGAAAAGGGATATATATACACCCCAGGCATTTCAATATTCATATCTGTGCACGTTTCTGGATATTTAAAGTTTTATCATCCCTGATCAGATCAATCATATCAAGTTTTGATTTATGCACACAATTTCAGCATACCTTGCAGGGCTCGTTGATCAACTTGATAGAAATGGCCTTTTAATTTGATAACTTTAGAAAGGAAGAATATTTATTTATCTCAGTATGAGTTATCTCTTTTATAAAAGGGTCAATGAACCTTAAGATCTACAATCACAACAAAGTGCCATTAAATCTGCTTTGAACCCATTTGCTGATCATCTTTCCATTGTCAATGAAAGTAAAATTAATACCTTGATTTTGTTGGTTTTGATTATCTTTGTTAAGGTTTCTTCTTTATCCTGAAATTATAATGATCATCTCTACATTTTTCTTTAAGATATATCAAAATTCAGATTTCTAATGGATTTTCACATGTATTGTCAAAGAAATTGGACACATGGCAGTTATCACACAATCACACAAAGTATTTTCAATAACGAAAAGAATGAATGTACATAATAACATGGGTAGTGGTGCATGGGAGAATATTCATACTTTTTGCCAATAATTCCTTATTTTCAATAATTAAAATACTTTTTATTCATGTATTGATGTTTATCTCTTTCAAAGTGTGTACATGAATTTTACAATATTTTTACAAATTCAATGCCTTCAATTCTCCAATGACCTTGGGTCAAAATCATGAAATAAACTCAGGTCATGACCAATCTTTATACCAAGTATGTTTCTCCATAACAAGATACGCCAAAGACAAGAATTATTCATTTTTCAAAGTGACCTCGAACTTATACAAATGACATTGTGTCAAAGTCATGACACATCCTCTGGTCACAAGTAATCATTGCAAGAAATATGAATTTTAATTTTTATCCATTGGATCTTCAGTCAACATCATGAAACATCTACCGGATACTGTCAAAAGCTAACTGTGTGTCAAGTAAGTGCTTTTAAAGTTTCCCGATTACAGAACACAACAAGGACAAAAAAATACATTTTTCTGCAAATGACCTTGAACCTTGGATCAATGTCAAGACACACATTTAAGTGATATCTTTCTATGAAATATTAACTTACCATGTTTGTCTATCCTAGGTTACAAATTATACACTCTTTCTGCCAGTGACCTTAAACTTACCCAAATTGTCATGTTTCTGAGGTCATGACATACCTCAGATCATAAGCAACCTTTGTGCCAAGTATGAGCTCACAAGTCACAAGTAGATTTTATTAATGAGGCCCCGATGGATAACTAGTTTTTTAACTAGCAGTGTTGAGTCTTGTACACTGAATGTCTTACCTCTCGTTCTTCCTTTGTGAGGATTGGATGGAACTAGCAGCCTGAAGTCTCACACAGTACAGGTCTTACCTCTAATTCTTACTCCCACAGTTAGGTTGTTTTATGTAGCAGCTTGGAGTACTATAATTTTTTCTTTGTGAGGACTGGATGGATGTTGTTTGTATTTGTACACTATATATAGGTCTTACCTCTAGCTCTTCCACTGTGAGGCCTGGATGAATGATTGGTTCGTCTAGCAGTGTGGAGTCTCGTACACTGTAAGTCTGCCCATCACATTCCACAGCCACGTCATTCCTCAGATTCACCAGTACCACCAGTTTATGTCCTTGTTTCTTACTCAGTAAGTAGTTGGATATTTTTGTCACACCCTATAAAACCAAATATGAGAGAATTCTTTCATTCTGGTTTTTTGAAAATCTATAAACTGTATTTCATGGTGTAATAATATACTTATAATTATGAAAGACTTGTATTTGAACTAATTTTGTTCTAATAATGGTGCCCCAAACAGTCAGGTGACTCACTAATCTTCCTTTTATTTTCTTCCAATTATGAATTTGTCTGCAGTTTTTGCAGATGGCTTGAAAAATCTCCTTGACCTTGTTGTGTATGAAGTATTTAAATTTTCAAAGTGACAACTGTTGCCATGGAAACAGAAAAAACATAAATATAAACAGAAGAAATATAAACATTTTAAATTTCTTTTAATTTAGTGATAACTTTGCCAACTTTTTTTTTAAATTAAAAAGGTAATTTTTGGTCTTAAATCACTGTTGTTTTTTTTCGTGTTTTTTTTTGTTTGTTTGTTTTGCATCAGTTGGACAGATTTTGACAGGGAACAAAGAAGGGGGTTTCAAAATTTGATTTATACCTTTCAATTAAGAAATAAGATATTTTTTTAGAGTTTCATTAGGATATGACATGAAGTTGGTCACCTGATCAAATTCCATAATGCCCAAACGGCGTTACAGTAGATTTGATCACGTACCGACTTCATGTCATATCCCAATGAAACTCTAACAAGAGGTCCAAGGGCCACATCACTCACCTGAGCACTGTGGCTAGGAAAAAAGCAAAAATCAGTTTAGTATTGCAATGCTTATATGCATAAGTGGTCCTGACCTACCCCTAAAAGGGAGGAGGGGGGGGGGGGTATGATTTGAACAAAATTGAATCTACATTAACTAAGGATGCTTACATATTTTTTTTTGACTCTGACTTTTTTCCTACAAGTTTACACTTTCATTGTGGCCCCTACCTACCCCTGAGGGTCATGACTTGATCAAACTAATGAATCTACACTATCTGAGGATGTTCCCATATAAATTTGACCAATCATGGCTTTGCTGTTCTTGAGAAGAAGATTTTGAAAGATTTTCCCTATGTAAAACTTTGATCACCTACTGTGGCCCCACCCTACCCATGGGGGTCATTATTTGAACAAACTTGAATCTACACTTAGGATGCTTCTATGTAAATATGACCAATCAAGGCTTTGCTGTTCTTGAGAAGAAGGTTTTTAAAGATGCACCCTATGTATTCCTATGTAAAACATTGATTGCCCACTGTGGCCCCACCCTACCCCAGGGGTCATGATTTGAACAAACTTGAATCTACTCTATCTGAGGATGCTTCCATAAAAACATGACCAATCATGGCTTTGTTGTTCTTGAGAAGAAGGTTTTTAAAGATTTTCCCTATGTATTCCTATGTAAAACTTTGATAACCCACTGTGGTCCCACCCTACCCCCGGGGGTCATGATTTGAACAAACTTGAATCTACACTACCTTAGGATGCTTCTATGTAAATATGACCAATCAAGGCTTTGCTGTTCTTGAGAAGAAGGTTTTTAAAGATGCACCCTATGTATTCCTATGTAAAACAGTGATTGCCCACTGAGGCCCCACCCTACCACCGGGGGTCATGATTTGAACAAACTTAAATCTTCACTACCTGAAGATGCTTCCACATAAATAACCAATCAAGGCTTTGCTGTTCTTGAGAAGAAGATTTTTAAAGATTTTCCCTATACATTCCTATGTAAAACTTTGAATGCCCATTGTGGCCCCACCCGACCCCCAGGGGTCATGATTTGAACAAACTTAAATCTTCACTACCTGAAGATGCTTCCATATAAATGACCAATCAAGGCTTTGCTGTTCTTGAGAAGAAGATTTTTAAAGATTTTTCCTATATATTCCTATGTAAAACTTTGATCGCCCATTGTGGCCCCACCCGACTCCCCGGGGTCATGATTTGAATAAACTTGAATCCACACTACCCGAGTATGCTACCATATAAATATGACCAATTATGGCTTTGCTGTTCTTGAGAAGAAGACTTTTAAAGATTTGTACTATGTGATCCTATGTAAAACTTTGATCGCCCATTGTGGCCCCACCCGACCCCCCGGGGTCATGATTTGAACAAACTTGAATCTACACTACCCGAGTATGCTACCATATAAATATGACCAATTATGGCTTTGCTGTTCTTGAGAAGAAGATTTTTAAAGATTTGTACTATGTGTTCCTATGTAAAACTTTGATCGCCCATTGTGGCCCCACCCGACCCCCGGGGGTCATGATTTGAACAAACTTGAATCTACACTATCTGAGGATGCTTCCACATAAGTTTCATATTTTCAAGCACAGTGGTTCTTGAGAAGAAGATTTTTTAATGATGCCATTCATTTTTCACGAATTCTTAATTATCTCCCCTTGGAAGAAGGCGTGGCCCTTCATTTGAACAAACTTGAATCCCCTTTACCCAAGGATACTTTGTGGCAAGTTTGGTTGAAATTGGCCCAGTGGTTCTGGAGAAGAAGTCGAAAATGTGAAAAGTTTACAGACGGACAGACGGACTACAGACAAAATGTGATCAGAAAAGCTCACTTGAGCCTTCGGCTCAGGTGAGCTAACAAAACAAATTTGTCTCATGAGAGTAATATATTCAATATCCAAAAACAATACATGAATTTTCTGTTTTGCCCCTTGTACTAATAACTATACTTCATCATAATGCAGTGATGTAGGCTTTGACATCATATTAGGTAAATGGTTGTGATTGAAAATTGTAATCATAAACTGACTCAGGATTATAATAACAATTTGGAGAAACTTTGATTGTTTTAATCGGAGTGTCAGGATGGTTATTCACTCTATCTTCTTAAACACTTTTTCTGAAGGAAATGAAAATAGATGATAAATTGCTCAGAAATTAATTTCAGACTTTGAAATTATCAATTTTATACCATGCATAAATTACAGTATTTCACTGTTGAAAAATGTAAAAAAAGAATGAAAAAGTGCTTATATCATATGACACATTATATCTTTCATGCAACAGTAATCTCCTAATGCAACAAGTTGCAGAGGCGATATAGCTATGCTTATGAGAGAGTGTACATGAAGGTCATTTACATACATGTGATATGTAACGGCTGTACACAAAATGTCATGTATTTTTGACACCACTGAAGGGCTCACGGCGGTACACCAAAATTCACAGGAAAAGAAAATTTGTTCCTTATTTTGAATTATGTTTACCGGAAACCGCCATTTTTTGTTCATTCTCGCTCTCACAACACTGGAAATCTTGTTTGATGCCCGACTCATTTTGCTTGGTTAATGTACACAAAATATATCATGATTGAAGGTGTAAAACATTCTCTTATAATTACATTGTAATTAAAACGTATCAAAGCTTTTTCTTTGGCAGAATATTGTTTTCATAGGGGGTTTTCAACTATAATTTGTTACAGTTTTGTCAGTAGGAAGAATGTTTCAAAGAGAAAACAACAAGAATCAGAGCACTCTTTGTGACAATAACATGAAATTTAATCCATGATTTTGCTCTGCTTAGGCATAAGTATTATCCATTCTAACACAGCTTAAGTAAGAGAAATGTTTTTGTATCATCAAAAAAAAAAAAACACAGATGACTGGAGATGATCAGACTCTTGCATTAAACAGTGTATTATGAAAGTCTTTTTACAGAGTTCTAATATTGTTTTTAGTAATATATAGAAACCTATATATCCCTGATGATCCTGATCATCCTATTTCTCTTGCTTTTGGGCAACAAAGCTGCTTCTATCAGTTTATTTTATACTCTATGTAGTAGTACCTTACCCAGTCCCTGTCTCTAGATAAGAGAAAATTTAAGTACTGTATGATATACCCTCAAACAGAGATGTTTTAATAATCATTCCAGTCATTAACTCAGACAGAGTAAAAGAAAACCTATATATCCCTTGTAATATCCTGATCATACACGTTACATATATAGGAAATATCTTTAAAATCTTCTTCTCAAGAACAACTACCAGTAAGCCCCAGTGTTTGGGGGCACAACAGAGGGTCAAAGTTTTGCTTAAGAATACGTAGGAACCATCTTGAAAAAATCTTCTGCTCAAGAACAGCAAAGTCATGATTAGTCATATTATTATAGAAGCATCCCCCCCTCCCTTGTTCAATACTGAACTAATTTCTGCTTCTTTCTAGTCAATGTGCTCAGGTGAGCGATGTGGCCCATGGGCCTCTTGTTTCAGATTATCTTATCCAAAAATACTTTCAGAATGATTGTATATTTACATCTCTTGCAGGCTGAGCCATTCCATAAACTGAGAATCCTTTGAGGTTGAGCTTTCTAAAGTTAGGCACTCTGACATCCATTTGTGTACTCATCACGTCCAATCCTATGTATACATCTGCCACCTGATAGGATAAACATTTTCTGTAAATTTCAATCTTTTAAATTATAAACAGTATACATATAGATACTTAAAGTTTTGAGATCAAATGCAAGTAAATGTTGAAATTCTGAAAGGAAACCACTGAACTGGAGCAGTAACACATTGTCTTCTTTTTTTTTTTACCTCACAACTGCAGAATTAAACAAGGCAATTGAATATTACATATTGCAGCTTTTGTAGCTAAATCACAAAAGGTTTTTTTTCTCTCTCTCTCCCCCCCCCCCTTTCTTCAATAATTCCAGACAAATCATAATTCAATTTTATTTTTTAATGTCAAAAGTATAAAAAAAATATTAAACCATGTTTCTCATGCATAATAGTCATTCTGTCATTCTGGTTTGGGTTTTGAAGTTCTAAATGTTTGGAACCTTAAAAAAGATCTACACCATTTCTAGAATTCTCTCAAGATGCAGGATATAGAACAAGGGGAAAAATCCTTTGTGTTAAACTCAGAAAATCGTTAAATTTATATTTCATTTTAAATACTTAATTAAAAGCATCTCATAAAGTTTGACCTGTAGCTCAGGGCAGAGTTTGCGAATTTAATAACAGCAAAAGCAACAAAAAAAAAACCACAGTCAAAATACAGTATCAAAATTTGTGATATTCCCGAGCGCATTCTTCAGTAGATTGTACGTACTTCACATTGAAAACAATACCATACAGAATCTTAACCCAATACACAGATGAATTACAAAACATTCATTTTCAGTAAAGAACAGATCTGCATTAAATCTATCAGAGAGTATCTTGATTGATTATCTGTCTACAGCCCCTAAGTGCATATGATATGAATTCCTGTCTCTTGAGAAGTTCAATGCTTTTAGGAGCACTCCGAAAGATTCAAAGGAGACATACACTTCTAAAAGTAGTAAATAAATAAAATTAATGGATTTAATACATTTAGGCTCATCATTATTTGAGGCAAGTTTAACATATTGGCCCATTTTATAGAGAATATGCCTTCAGCTTAAGTGAAGTAAACTGAAAGTTTACCAAATTGCATCTTTATATTATACCAGTAGTTTGCTATGGTATAGAAATGATATCTCTCCAAAAAAGTAATGAATAAGCAATAATGACCGAATTAGGGGTATTTTTACATTATATTTTTTGATTGTGTACTGCAGAAAAAAAAAATCTTGTTCATTGCTGCCTTCACAACTGACATCGCACAGACTTACACTCTCTAATTAAATGTATTTATTTACTGAATGATTCATTGATTGCATTGCTTTAGACATTGTACAATGATACTGAGTCTTGACAAGAGTTCAAAATCATAAAAATTAATTGACTTGAAATTCCTTCATTTAATCAATGAAAGTGGGAAAATACCTTGCATTCTCTAATGTCACAGTGAATTACTGCCACCATAATTATTTCAACTTTTTCTTGATACAAACTCTATGGCATATTACTTTATGCAAAGGATGATGTGCCAATAAAATTATACAGCCCCCGGTAAATTGACAAAAAAATAAAATATCTAAATTTTACTCTAATTTTTGCATCCACTTAATCACTGATATGTGTACCTGCATGGAATACTACTTTTACCAAAAATAGAAACATAATTTGGAAGATATTTATCTTTATTTTGAGTAGGGGTACCATGTTTACATCCAATTCCCATTGAATTTAGGCCCCGCCCCACTCTTTAAAGCCCTTAAAATATACGAGCGCAAGTAGGTACATTTTTCTCCTTTGGATGGTCGCTGTATTTTATTGAAATCTACCTATATGTGAAAGGAGAAAATTGTACCTAACTGTGCTCAAATGTTGTGTTTAAAACATCGTAAAACAGATCGACGAAACAATTTTTTCTGACGTAAGAATAAATTCATATGCTAATCGAGGCACCGGCCTGACTTTCAAACCAACCAATCAGCTAAATGAGTTGCATTACGAGTGAGTCCTACAAAAATTCTAAGGAAATATAACGCTTGTAAAAAAGGCATATTTTTTCTTGTTTTCCGATAAACATTTTTTTTTTCATTTGAGATTAGTCACGAATCTAAAATTTCCATGCTCATAATTACAAACATTTTTTTTAAATAAATATACATCCTATAATTTCTTAGTTTTCTAAAGCGCCGATGGGCAATTGGCTATACATATTCCCGAGAATCTGTGAATACATGTACATGTTTCATTGTGAATTTCTCGACCCAAAACGGTAAACACTGATGTTCCATACGTATTATCATGTAAAAAAAAAAAAAAAAAAAAATTGCTGACCATTAAAAGTTTGAAATGTAGTAGAGATAATGTGTAACTTGACCTAATACACGTGTTTGTGATAAAATGTAAACATTTAGTAAACCAGCATGTTTTGTCATTCAGTCATCCGATTGGACAACTGTTCACGGTAAGCAACTATGTGCGAAATAATAACAATAGTCATATAAGGTAGATTCTTCGGACATGCATACCCCTCTATTGTACTAAGACCTGCCTATTTCTTTTCATAGAAGATCCTATTGTCACAAACCAGGCCGAATTTTGCTCTCATGGTGTCAAAAAAATCATAGATAATGCGGTAATCCTTTTAATTAACATGTGTTGGAACTACTGAAACTATTCAAAAGGTGTCGCATTTATTCACTTTTGTTTGAAAACTATCAAAATCGTTATAGAATAAATATAATTCATCTTTAAAAAAGGGGCCGCAGAAAGTAGTTTTGTCACATCATCCTTTTGAAAAAACATATAAATGTATAATTTATATAATTTTTTTCTGTGTGCAGGTGATCCAGGTAACATAATGCCAAATTGAAATACAGTGGTTTTGCCGAATTTGTGGAATTGTCGCCTTTTTTTGCTGAAAGGTAATATAAATTTGCAGAAATTGCCAAGATTTGTCAAAGCTCTACAATGATTCCCCTAGTTTACAAGTAGAAAAAATTCTTTTATTATAACACATAACAGATACCATAGCTTATAGTCCTTCAGAGAGACTACACATTAAACACGTTCTAGATACATAAAACAGTGGCGGATTTAAGGGGGGGCGCACCCAGCGCATGCCCCCCCTAAAACTGTCAAAGTTAGCGTAAATCATAGTTTCGTCAAGAAAATGTAAAAATGTCTACTTGGTAGATCTCATTTTTACCCTACAAAATGTCTAGAATCCAGGAGCTTCCGGGGGCTTCGCCCCCTGGACCCCCACCAGGGCTTCGCCCTGGACCCACTGGGGGCCTCAAGGTGGCCCCCAGACCCCCTGCCTACTTTCTGCGCCCCCCCCTAACTTCAATTCCTGGATCCGCACCTGTAAAAACAATTTAACCACCATCGACACTATGTTACCCTTCATATCCAAATGAAATTTACCGGTACTCTAGACATTTCTTCGTCACATATATTTAGTTTGTAAAATCTTTACAGTGAACAAAGAGAACCATGAACAAGTATATATAAATCAGATGTAGTACTAGAAATGACCAAAATCAGATCTTAAATATGCTTCTAAAGTTGTTTTCCAAGTAATTCCATCATTTCCAGAAAAAGAGGAGTTTTCATTTAAGTCTTATTTGAACTAAAGGAACTTTTTATGCAATTACAAATTATATATCAGTAATGCTCCATGCACAAGAAACATGCTTGACAGCTGCTATTTAACAAAATGGATTATAAGCAATCCCATTATCTCTAGACTACAGAAACCTAATTCACAAAGTTTACTGGTTTTTGCAGAACATTTTTTTTTCTAAATAAAAAGGTGCAGAGTTTCCTGTGCAATATAGTTACATTCATAACTGTAGATATCAGAATTCTTTTAAAGAGGCTTACTACATAATATCTTACCACTTTTCTTCAAATAATAGCTTGTTAACAATTTTGTCTTATTGTCATGCTGATTAATTCACATGACTTATTACAGACAAGCAGCACTTACTAGGAACTGTCTCTCTGTCAGCACCAAATTCAGTGGGGCATGAGAATTAGGGTGATGGACATTTTCCAATAGTCTGATCATCTCTGGATGTTGTCTCTTCCATTTTGAATATGACTTGAGAAATCGCTGGGAAAACTGTCAAATCAAAGAAAATTTTGTCAGGTAGTATTTATGATGCTATTACTCAAACTTCTTATTAATTTGATTTGCAAACACTAATGAAAAGTTACTTAAAATCTTACAGCTGTTGTCTATCCTTAATGCTCAAATTAGTTACTCGCACTTATATACAACAAAATAAATAATACATTCTTTGGATCTCTTAATTCTGGCATCATATCAGTATTTCATTTCATATCAGTATTTCATTTCATATCAGTATTTCATTTGTGGTTCATGTTAAAACATGACTCAAGCAAAATAATACCTAACCAACCCCCTCCCTCTTTTCCAATTTGGGCATTTCTGCACTAGACTGGGATTGAATCTTTTAAGAAGATAAAATACAAGAGGCCCATGGGCCACAATGCTCACTTTAATCACTAATAGTCCCTGCTGTTAAGTTGATCAGCTCATTTTTATCCTGTTATGTAAATGTTTGATCACATATGGTGTCCCCACCCTATCCCAAGGGGTCATGATTTGAACAAACTTTAATCTACATTACCTGTGGATGCTTCCATATTAATATGATTAATCATGACTTTGCTGTTCTTGAGAGAAGATCTTTTCCCCCATATATTCCTACGTAATAAATGTTTGATCCCCCAATTTTGGTTCCACCCTACCTGCTGGGTCATGAGTTGAACAAACTTGAATCTACATTACCTGTGGATGCCTCCCTATCAATATTACTATTCATCTCTTTGTTCCTCTTTAGAAAGATATTTTTTAAAGATTTTTCCCTATACAATTCTTTGTAAAACTCTGATCACTTATTGTGGACCCATCCTACCCCCACAGTTTATGATTTGAACAAACTTGAATCTACATTACCTTGGATGCTTCCAAATCATGCCTTTGCAATATTGAGAAGATTTTTAAAGATCCCTATCTAAATGTTCATCATCCTATTGTGCCCCCCCCCCACCCCGGGATTCATGATTTAAAGAAATTTGAATCTACAGTACTCGAGGATGCTACCATACTTATATGACTAATCATGGTATTGCTGTGTTGAGAAGATTTTTAAAGATTTTTCCCTATATATATATATATATATATATATATAAAAGTTTGATCACCTGTTATGTCCCCATCCTGTCCCCATGGGTTGTGATTTGAACAAAATTGAACCTACACTTTAATAAACCTTTCACATAACTTTCATTTTCTTTTTTTTTGGCCCAGTGATTCTTGAGAATATTTTTAAAATATGCCTTCAATTTTTCCAAATTCTTTATTTTCTTGCCTTGAAAGAGGGTGTGGCCCTTCATTTCAAGAAACTTGAATCTCCTTCACCCAAGGGTGCTCTGACTGCCAAGATTATTTAAAACTGGCCAAGTGGTTCTGGTGAAAAATATGAAATTGTAAAAAGTTCACAATGACAACGACGACAGACAATGCACAAATTTCGATCAGAAAAGCTCACTTGAGCCTAAATTTGGCTCAGGTGAGCTACATGTATGTGTAAACTTTTTGATTTTACCAGATTCATGAAAAAATTGGACATGCTGAGTTTTTGGTGTGCTGTATTTGAGGAGGGGAGGAATTAGGCCTTGCACTTGATTTTCAAGCACCTGCTCTTGACTACAATGGAAAAGCTGTCAATGGGACAGCAAAATTGGGTTTTCTTTGGTGTGTTGAGTATTTCTCAAATAAATTATAAAATTTCTGTTCTGAAAACTGTAGGAGCTAGGTAAGCATGACACCGCAGCAATATTAATGCACCCATGCTCATATTTTGCATAAAAATGAGTAAGTTCAACAACTTGTATTTTCACCACAAATGATTAAAAAAAAATTCAAAATCAAGGGACTATGCACATCTACGACATAATTGTACAATTAAACTTCCCATCTTGAAAACTGTAAGAAGAGTTAACTGGACAAATGATGTACCCCTTTTTGGCAGCCGCCAGCCCGCTTAAAAACAAACTAGTGTGCCTTGCTGGATGCCTACATGTATTTTTGGAACTAAAATGCATGTAAATTGCTATACAAGATCTGAAAATGTTGTCTTGAATCAATACCACCCACTTTATGTTCAGTGAAATTCTTAAAATAATTTAGTGCAACTTTATATGTCCTAAATTCTGCAACTAATTTAATCTGGCTATTGATTAGCATGAAACAGCAAAAATTGGCATTGTTCAAAGAATTGATTTATTAAATTCATTAAACTGACAAAACTGTAATTTTCTTGAAAAAGAAAGATCTTAAATTGTGTTTGAATTTTTCCCCAAACACCTTTGAATTGTCAATAATCTTAGTAATTTGTTATTTGTGATTCTAAAAACAATTTTTCAAGGATCTCATCAGTATTTCTCCAGATTTTAATACCATTCTTTATTTAACCAATTCTAAATTCAATCCCTTTACCTATGAATGCTTTAATTAAACATTATTTCATTAATTTTTTTAATTCAGTTTTGGACAATCAACAGAGAAAACTTCAGTCAGAATGCTCACTATAAAAGTTTATCCTCTACAGCATGACAACATTTAAGTTTGTTATTCTTTTTTTTTCTTTATTTCACACAATTTAAAATTTTCCAATTATTTGCTGACTAAAAATGTAATATGAAAAGCTAAAGAGACTGAAAAAAAACCTGTTCTGTTAGGTAACTGTTGAAACAAATGAGGAATAAATAGCGTTGTAGAAAATGGCAGCATCTTTTGTACAGCATCTCCTGAGCATTCTTTCCCTACAAAAACAACAATATGCTTGATTCAGATAAAACTGTAAATATTTCATTACTGTAAAAAGGAAATGCCTGAGTTATCAGGCCAGTCATCTCCCAAGGAGTGGGAACTTTGATCAGCTCATCTGTGTGAGAGTGAATGATCAACTCTCTAAAGAGGCTTCCATCACGATACCTAGCAGAATGAAGTAAAATACTAGCAACTAAGTATTGAACAATCTACTGCAGTACCTCTTTATTCCATTTTTAAATTAACTAACTTATATATAAGCATTATAATAAATAAAATATAAAACTCCTTCTCCAGTGTTGCATTATAAGCAAAGTTTCTCTCTTGAACATTTGAGCCAGAAAAAAATAATTGCCACTTGTATAACAAGTCCTCATTGAATGTTAATTTGAGCTTCAATATCTTCTCTGATCAACACAGATCAAAGATTTATAGGAAAGTATAAAATTGATACTTTGGTAATAATTGAGTTCTCCTAGACTAATATTTCAAATTAATAAGAAAAGAGGTAGATAATGACCTTTTGATCTTCAGCATTGATTGTATTTACAGGAAGGTAATGTCAGTGATCCCTGTACTCTTAGTAATAACTTCTAATGAGAATATTCATAATTGATCACAACAGACCTGCTACGTACATTTCATGTGCTTTGTTGCTATGCAATTGACAATGCAATGGTCATAAACAAGAAATTTATCTTGAAAGTTACACTGAAACCTTAGACAATATTCATACCTTTTATAGCTTAGAGGGAAAATTTTAACAGCTATTAAACACAGAATCACTTATTTACAACATAAAAATAAAGTGTTGCTTTGGCATTCAAAGGTTAATTACAAAAAGATGACTCTTTTTGTGTAAAATATTTTGCCTATTATTACTACATGTACTAAGAGAAAGCATTAAATTATTCAGAAACAACTAAATACTAAAGCCTTAAAGGACTTATTGCATGTTTCTAAATTATTTGAAATTAAAAGCGTAAAACGTTCCTTATGACCACAGTTTATAAATTTTGTGTTTTTACTGCGGATAAACCGCGGTAATTAACCATTTATTGACTCAAATGAAAACCCCTGAATTAAAAATCTAAGTTAATTAGATAGCGATCACGTGACCCTGTGACGTCAAAGGCGACAATGGCTGATCAGCTCTTCACGTAAATCTTACTAAGATATACGCGATACAACCTGAATTTTCTGCGTTATGGACGACCAAATCACTGATTTTATCGATATGATTTTTAATATCCAACCTTATATTTTAGAATTGTCTTCAAGAAATAATCTGAAAAATCCGTTAACATTGTAAAAATAGCAGTGACGATAGCGAGGGAGACGCGGCGAAGACGAAGAAACTCGCCATAACAATACAATTTGATTTGTCATTTTATCACATGTGTGAACTTATTTGATTCACAAATTTAAATTACATAACTTTGTTATTCTTCGTTTTTAACATAATATTAATTTATGCAAGTATGCCTTCATATATTTTGTAAAGGATGGCGGTCTTGAAAAATAATTTTCCGATCACGAAACATTGCCGTAATCAGACCTACAGATTCTAAATGTTTCGAATAAAAAACGAAAATATCTCAAAATTCTTACACCTTAGAACTAGTTAATGTTTCTATAGTAATTGAAAATCACATTAGGAATTAATTTTTTTCAGCATTTTTTCATAATAAGCTGCATTTGTAGTTGATAACTCCGTAAATAGTGTGCAACTTTTCATCTCTCTATCACTGAATTGTCGCCTATGACGTCAGAGCAGTATTTCGCCGAAATCCGACTGAAATATGCATATTGCCGTATTTGAATTTCAACTCTCAATATCTCTTAAAATACGCTTTCAACAACGTTTATTGTATTCAGAATTTTAATAAACAAGGTTGTAGATAATATTTTTCATAAAATTAAGATTTTTGAAAAATCATGCGATAAGTCCTTTAAATTTGCTACAGCCTGTTTGTCTGAAAAAAAAAGCAATTAAGCAAATGAAAATTTATTCAACCAATATATATATTAATAATAAGAAATGCATGACTGCATACATATATATAGTTTTTGTTTCCAAAATTCTGAGCTCTAAACCAATAGAGAATCTGCCTTCAAAATATATAACCTAAATTTCTGATTTCAACTGAAATATCCCATAGAAATCTTGCTGATTTTTAAAGCATTTATTTCAGCCCAAATCATTTTAAAGTAATTGCAGAGAAACCTAAATTGCACACTCACCAAAATCTATTGCAAGAACACAAGGACAATGCCATTGGTTAAATATATATGCATGCTAGCTGTTAAATACATTAAAAATATTCAAATATTACATATCTGTTCTTAATAAATGTATCTTTGAAGTTGAAACTTTGTAATAAAAGACTGTTCAATATTTTAGTGATATGATTTATATTGGGCTTTGAGTTAATTATCTTGGAAAAAAGAAGTGTTTGAAGTAAGACAAAAACCAAGCATTCTTTAATGATCATCGTCTTTATAATTTAATTAAGAACACTTAAATCAGTATGCATCTCAGGATGCAATATCACGGAAAATTAATAATAAATGTCCTGGTAAGGCTCAAATAGTTACTAAAGAATGGAACTGCTCTTAAAACTTAATCTATTGCCATTCATTTAGAAAACAAAGTTACGTTTGCATTAGTGTGTATTATTCACATACATTATATATAATTAGGTTTAGGACCTGGTATAGTCCTGAGAACTACTGACTAAACCTATTGCATAAACTTCATCCTGGACTCTCATTCAGAAATACGTTCAAACTCGATATCTCAAACTCGATGGGACCGAGAAAAAGCTATGAGATATCCAAAGATTTGAGATATCAAGGGTAAAATACATAAAGAATAAGTGGTTGGGACCTCCAAATCACTTCGACATATCCATGGTATTCAAGATATTAGTGTTCGAGATAATGAAGTTCAACTGTATCTATGTCAGATACAGCATGTCAAGCATGACAAGTAGCAATATCTATCAAAAGATGCTTCATTTAAGCAGTATTTGTTTCACTTTGGCAGTGTTTCCCTTAACGCATATTTTTGTGTAATTTACACATAAAAAATACTTTTTACCCCCTAAAACATCACCCAAAGGGTCATCATGATGCAGAAAAAATATAAAAACAAATTTTAAAAATCGAGTTCAATATTGTTGCTTTGATGGAAACATGCAATTAATTAATTGATCATTCCAACTTTCTAGGAATAAATTGTTGCTTTAATTTCAAAGTGAAGTGATTGAAATCAGCATTTCAACATCAACAGTCTATTTTAAAAATATTTGAACAATCTATCTAATTCTTACAGCTATATATGGTGTATCTGAGCTAAAAAAATAAAAATACGAGATTGAGTGTAGATGAACAGGATATTTGTTACTTATGTTCAAATTAAAATTTTCACTGATTTTGAACTTAAATAATCCCACATTTCTATAGTTAAATTGACTTTAAACTGTGTCTGATATTTAAATGCGGAGTCGGTAAATAAATTGGTTATTGTTTTAAATTTCTAATATCTATGAAACGCAATTGATTTAAATTGTGTAATTTACAGGAAAGTCCTATCTTTATATAAAGTAATAAAACAAATAGAAAGATCTTTTTAATTTTAGTTAGTCTGAACTTATCAAAAATATGCCATACATGAATTTGACAAAACCCGAAGTCTGAATAAAAAATATTGCATCTGACATTAAAACATATTATTTCAGCTTTGCTTTGTCAAAAAGGCTAATGATGGTAATAAAAAGGTGAGCAAAGCTCGAATCATCAACAGTTTTGCAAAACTTTCAAACAACTTTCAGATGTTCTCTTTTGATTGACATGTATCCCGTGAACCCAAATGACAGAATCAGTATAATGTGTAAATAAAAGAAGTACAATAATATTTTACCTTCATTCTTTAAACATCAAATCACGATTTTAGAAAGCATAGCTAATATAAGTACTGAAAGCAAAACCAGGATATATTTTGGTAACAGGACGTTTCCCACCTATTGACGATTCCCCCGAGACCATTCGCCCTTAAAGACCTTTCGCGCCGAGTAGTGTCCTGACGCATAATAATTAATCTAAAAGAATATTATCTATAAATATTATCAATGTTTATATATATCTATTTACAATAAAGTTAATATTGACTTTCTCTAAAAAAAAAAAAATTAGAATAAAAAAATTTATCAAAGTTTATTTTTTGCTTACAGATTATTTCAAGTTAAATTAATAAAAAATTATCCTCATGCAGATATAATTAATATGTTTATTCAGCAATCATAATTAATCGACTAATTAAGTTTTCTAAGGTGTTAAAACTAATTTGGTGACTCTCAATTAAAGATGATATTTAAAATTTGAGATGAGCATTAATTATGAATCGATATATCAAAATCAACTAGGGATGTATTAATTAGGCCTAAATAAAAATAATAATTTGAATAGTGTGTTTAATATGTAGACTTTGTGTAAATTATATTTATGTTGCCCCCCCCCCCTCCCCCACCCCCGAAAAAAAATGGAAATATGTTATAAAGGGCCTGAGAATATGTTTCAATAATTTTTAAGTAGTTTATATCCAATTTAGAAAGTACTTCTTTTAATCGAAAAACATCCAACTGCTGTTTTTAATAATGAAAAAACTTTGTGCGTATCATATGTGTATGGGTCGGTTAATTTGAATAAAATATAAGTGTACAGTCACAATCAAATATCATTTGCTCAAAACAGACATGTATCTCAGATCAGTAGATTCTTCAAACAAAATATAAAAAATGCATTGTGTGGCATGGTAATACTTTATTCAACAAAGACAATACAAAAATAGTAGGGCTGTATCAATATATCATTACATATCGATATTTAAGAATGTATTGTATTGAAAAAATAACTTCCATTACATATCGGACAGGCAGAATTTCTTATAATTGTCTGAAAAAGTTGGCAATTTCAATCAACAAAGGTTATATTTTCACTGTTTTGAATTAAATATATTGTAAAATTGATCAATAATAATATAATCATTAAGGAGATAACACAAATAAATATTACAGAATACACAGACAACTTTATTTTAACATGTTAGTTTTTACAGTCATTAAAAGTCTGAATTTGAAAGGTAATTTGTAACGGCAGTGAGACAAGAACTTCAAAATGGGTTATAAAACAATTAGTTTTTAAAAAATGCATGCATAAAATGATTTATAAGACTTTTTTGATAGACTTGTTAAAGAATCCAATATCTCGGATATCACATTATAAAATATCGTATGGTATCGAATTTTTTGCTCAATACACAGCCCTACAAAATAGTAATAGTCATTAAAATAATAAAGATAATGCAAAGTCACTAGAAAGGTAATAATTACTACTAACAAGGGATAATTACAATTTAATTAAAAGAAATCATTGGATACATCTGGCGCGAATCGTCTTGGAGCGAAACGTCTCAGCACGAATGGTCAAGGGCAAACCGGTTTGCATTCTATATTTTGACCCTCAAAAATTCTCTTTGACTCCCAAAAGTTTACTTCAAAGGGTCATAATGACCCTTGGTTTTCAAGGTTAGCGGAAACACTGCTTTGGGCTTATGGCTACTTCAGAATTGGTGGCTTCCTTCTTCATCCAGATGAGATGAAACATCATCAGTGTGTTCAAAAGATGTATATAATGACTCACTAGTTCAGCATTTTTACTATCATTTTTAGGGTTCACCTTTGTTTTTGTGTTTATATATATATTTTTTAATAATGAAATTCAGGTTATAATTTGGTGACTAGGTTGTTCTTGACCCCTTTGCAGATTTAGTATATGTTTAAGTTCTGAAGCACTGACTCTTTGGTGGATCCAGTAAGGTCAATATGTTGCTAGGTGAAATTAATTCTGAGGAAAAAGCATGTGGATAATATGATTAAGTGTGAGTATATGAAGCTAATGTCCTCTATGTCAGTTAATTAAGGCCCAACATGGAAATTCAGAGTCCAACTAATATGACAGAATAAGGGTCAGTGAGCAGAAATCATACCAATGAATAGTCCAACATTGTCATCTCAAGCTTGATAGCACCTGGATTAAACTCCGAGATATCCGATTATGCAATAAATGGGGGGGGGGGGGGTGAATAAGTGGTTGGATTTCCAAATCACTTTGAAATATGTATCCCTGATATTTGAGATATCACCTGGCTCAAAATAAGGAAGTTCAACTGTATATTTAATTAATTACATATCTTGTAAAGACACAATTTTGTCACAACTGAATTAATTTTAACACCCTTCAAGACTTTTTTTTTTTTAATTCAAATCTATTTGTGAATGCAAGTAGATATCTTAATATAAAATTACATGTAAGCTTCATAAATTCCAAATGAACAAAAGAAGAATTTTCAATATGCTAAATCATAATGAAAGCTCATTCACATTCATAGAGTGTGGTACTCTGTCAAATCCCATCTTTTAATTCTGGATGCTATTGATTTTTGAAGGTGTTGACATGAGATTTTCCTAGATGGAAACTCTGTATAGAATAATAATAATACTTTGAGTTTCAGCTTCTTTAATCGAGATTTTATTGCTGTAAAATTCGGATAATACAAATTTAAAACCAGTAGTAAAGAAAGGCATCTGTGTCTTGGGGAAAGATTTAATGGCAATTCTGCTCACCCTTAAACCTCTTAAAGTGATAGATCAAGTCGGAAGCACATGCATCTTTAAAATAACTTACATTTGTTGTATAAAACACACGAGAAGCCAAAGTACGCAAGACAGTATATTCTAACATATAACTGACCATAAACAATATTCAATTTCACATTTAAATATGTCTTCTTTCTTCATTTTCTTAATTTTTTTTTTTATCAATTTATTTATATTTTTGTAATATTTAGCTAGTATTCAATAAATCTAACTCTTTCATTATATCCTTGCCATGGAAACCAATTTGTTTAATATTTGATAACCACCTGAATCTAGCCAACATAACAGCATTAACTTAAAACATGCAGTATAATTATATCAGTATATATCTTAAATACAAGTCAAAGCAATTAAAAACATTCAACAAGAGGCCCATGGGCCACATCGCTCACCTGAGTAACTTTGGTCATGCTGTTCTTTACCAGATTTCCCCCCCCCCTTGTAATACCTATTGTGGCCCCGCCCTACCCCGGGGGGTCCTGTTTGAACAATTTAGAATCTACACTACCCAAGGATGCTTCCACATAGGTTTCAGTTTTTCTGGCCCAGTGGTTCTTGAGAAGAAGATTTTTAAAGATTTTTCCTATATATTTCACTGTAAAACTTGGATTCCCTATTGTGCCCCGCCCTACCCCCGGGGGTCATGATTTTAACAATTTAGAATCTACACTACCCAAGGATGCTTCCACATAAGTTTCAGCTTTTCTGGCCCAGTGGTTCTTGAGAAGAAGATTTTTAAAGATTTTTTCCAATATATTTCAATGTAAAATTTGGATTCCCTATTGTGGCCCCGCCCTACCCCCGGGGGTCATGATTTTAACAATTTAGAATCTACACTACCCAAGGATGCTTCCACATAAGTTTCAGCTTTTCTGGCTCAGTGGTTCTTGAGAAGAAGATTTTTAAAGATTTTTTCCTATACATTCCAATGTAAAACTTGGATTCCCTATTGTAGGCCCGCCCTACCCCCGGGGGTCATGATTTTAACAATTTAGAATCTACACTACCCAAGGATGCTTCCACATAAGTTTCAGCTTTTCTAGCCCAGTGGTTCTTGAGAAGAAGATTTTTAAAGATTTTGTCCAATATATTTCAATGTAAAACTTGGATTCCCTATTGTGGCCCCGCCCTACCCCCGGGGGTCATGACTTTCACAATTTAGAATCTACACTATCCCAGGATGCTTCAATATAAGTTGCAGCTTTTCTGGCCCAGTGGTTCTTGAGAAGAAGATGTTTTAATGACCCCACCCTATTTTTGTCTTCTCTTGATTATCTCCCCTTGTGAGGGGACTTGGTCCTTCATTTTAACAATTTAAATTCCCCTTCACCCAAGGATGCTTTGTACCAAGTGTGGTCAAAATTGGCCCAGTGGTTCTTGAGAAGAAGTCAAAAATGTGAAAAGTTTACAGACGGACGGACAGACAGACGGACAGACAGACGGACGGACGGACGACGGACAAAATGTGATCAGAAAAGCTCACTTGAGCCTTCGACTCAGGTGAGCTAAAAACCTTTCTCCATCTCAATGAAATTTCAATATCCTTCAATAGTTTAATGAACCTAGTTTTAACCAAAATAGAAAGCCAAATATGGCCATTATCCTATCTTGTTCATTTTATCCTATCTACAAGATGTGAAACAAATCTATTATAAACTAGAGGCCCATGGGCCACAACGCTCACCTGAGTAATGAAGGCCCTTCTTATTCTTCTTCAGCAGATTCTTTTTTCCCCAACTGTGGCACCATCCTTCCTCTGGGAATCAGGATTTGAACAAACTAACTACCTGTAGATGCTTCCATTTAAATATGATTAATCATGGCTTTGCTGTTCTTGAGAAGAAAATTTTACAAATTCTTCCTATATATTTTTATGTAAAACTTCGACTATCTATAGTGGCCCCTCCCAAACTCTTGGGGGTCATCATTTGAACAAACCTAAACATTAACTACCGTGGATGCATACATATAAATATGACTGATCCTTGCTTTGCTGTTCTTCATTAGATGATTTATTAACGATTTCTCCAATGTATTCCTATGGAAAACTTTGATCCCCATTGTAGCCCCACCCTACCCCAAGGGCAATGATTTGAACAAAATTGAATCTACACTACCTGAGGATGCTTCCATATAAATATGACTGATCATGGCTTTGCTGTTCTTGAGAAGAAGATTTTTAAAGTTTTTTTTCCTATATATACCCTTGTATTTAATGTAAAACTGTTATCACCATCCTACCCCTGGGGGCCATGCTTTGAATCTTTACACTATGTCAGGAAGCTTTCACATAAGTTCCATCTTTTCTGATGCATTGGTTCTTGAGAACATTTTTTAAATGACCCTGACCATATTTACTTGTTCTTAATTATCTTTCCTTGCAAGCAGGAGTGGCCCTTCATTTGAACAAATCTGAATCCCCTTTACTCAAGGATACTCTGTGCCAAGTTTGGTTGAATTGACGGTCCAGTGGTTCTGGGGAAGAATATGAAATTGTAAAAGTTTACAACAACGTTAACTACAGCAGCAACTACAAACAACAGACAAATTTTGATCAGAAAAGCTCATATGAGCCTTAGGATCAGGGGAGCTAAAAAGTGTGGGGTCAAACATGTGCAACTGTCAGCTGGGTTTGATCATTGGTGGCTAGATAGCTCAGTTGGTAGAGCAGAATTGATCTAAAACTGAAACTCATAATTTTTTTTCAACTTCAAATATTTTATCAATTAGAATTAGTAAATAGTTTCTTGTGCATATGTGTCCCTAATAAGGATATTATTCATATGTTCATAATGTCATATGTGCTTATCAAATATACTAAGGCAAAACTGTGCATTACATATCCATATAAAGCTGAAAAGGAACTAAATGTAATTCAAAGATGCAGCACTTAATATCAGAGTCAGGATCTAAAATTAAATATGCATTAATATACCAAATATTGATGAAGTAAGCACTTATATTAATTCTAAACTTTACAGGAAAAACCCATCACATCCATTAATTCCAAGAAAAGATATAAATTATTCACATCCATAAATCTGTTGGTGCTTTATCTAAGCACTCTACTAATGCCATTACCAGATTTATAGTTCCTCATGGGTCATTGTGAAATTACAATGTGTACCCATATCAAAACAACTACTCTGTTAGAAAAAGCAATGCAATATACTTTGGTTAGAGCAATTAACTCTCAAGTCTGAAAGATCAACAAGGGATAAAAAATATTAAATGAATTGAAACACAAGATAGCCAGATTTTGTGCACTTACATCAATTTCTTGGTCAAATGTTGTTCCTTCTAAAAGATGTTTTGCTGCCGAAATTTCACTGTGTAAATTGTATAGCTCCCCACACATATCTATCACAGCATCTATCTATCAAGAAAATTACAGATTTATTTACAGTACTGGATCAAATAATTTTTTTTATCATATACTTAGTAGTAAAAGACCTAACACTTGCTCTATTAGATTTGAAAGAAAAAGGTCATATACATGCATGAAACATTAAATGACTTTATGTGTATAATACTCACATCTTAAATATACGATAAACAGAATACTACATACTAAAATTCATATCGTATGTCACATCAGCCCTCGGGCCCCAATAAAAATAAAATTTTTGCATCAAAATAATGAAACTCAAATTTTGGAACGAAATATGTACAGCTTGTAATTTTGACTTAGGTAGATTACCTACAGCAGGGTTCTCCACAGGGAATTTACCATGGCAGCCCTCCATGGTTAAATTAAAATTTAGGTGTGCCATGGTTAAAAGAGCTGCTCCAGGGTCAAATCTGTGGCCTCCATGATTAAATTTTTCTTGCATTTCAGTATATCTACACCTACTTGAACCTCCCTCTTGAAGAGAGATTGTACTTAATAAGCACACTGTCACTGAATGGTGAATTGTTGTGAAGCATGAGGTGATCAGCTTTTGATCAATATGATTATTAAGATATCTCCAAGTAGGAGTTAATCTTTCTGTGTTCAATTTTGGGGAATTATTTACAAAAAAAAAAGATTCAGCGTATAATCAACATTCATTCTAAACAGGTCCCCATTCTAATAAAATGTTGATCACCAAGTCAGAGTTTTAGACCTCCCATTTGTAATTAATTAAAGTCGCATGGTGCTATTTTTAGCATTAATTGTCAAAACCACATGAGCATAGAAAAAAAGATAGTACAAACAGAAGAGAACAAAATTAGATATACCAGATTTATGCCTCTGATTATTTTAAGTTTTAATACATATACTGTCAGTAAGTTTTCAAAGATCAAGCAGTAAAAAGTTTATAGGCATTGTTAAGATGTTGGCATTCATCCATCTGTTCATTTGTGTGTCTGTAATTTTTTTTTTTTCAGCTATCCTACTCCTTCATCAGTTTTGGTCCAATTTCAGTAAAACGTGTCATACAAAAAGCAACATTAATTAAATGTAGCAGTTTTTTTTTTCAAATTACTTTGGTGAGATTTCTTAAAAACAATCATCCTCATACAGTTTTGTTCTGATTTTAATAAAATTTTGAACATTCATAGAGTACACTAATCTATAAAATCTTGCAAAATTTTTTTTCATTTCAACCTGTGGTGTTGCCATGGTAAATTAAAACTAGATGTGTCGTAAAGCCATGAATGCCCCCACATTTGTAGCCGAGATAATGATTTTTAAGGTGGTATGGGATACCAAACGAAACTTCTCCTACATATTTATGTACCCAAATTAGAAGGATTTGAAATACCCCCACCTTTCAGCATATTAAAGTGTAATTTTAATTTTTTTTTTTATTATTTTAATGAGAAATACAAAAACGATTTTTTTTCTTGCATAATTCTTTTTTCATAAGCTTAATATTATAGGCAGGCGTTTGCTGATGTAAAGTGTTTATAAAAACAAAAATGACAAGAAATATGTCTTAGTATTTTTTTAATTTTCAACAAAAAATAAGCGTAAAAAACTGGGAAAACTTTATTTCTTGAAAACAGACGGATAACATTTCATGAAAGTCTACAATAAGAATGTATCTTAATATGTTAGCAAAGTGAAATAAACAAATTGAAAATATATATATAAATGGAAAATATAAAATGCATTTAAAATTTTTTGAATTAAAAGATGCGAGCGGAAGAGTTATCCTTCTTTATTTTCCAAGGGTTGAAAAAACCTGGGTGCTATTTTAGAAATGATGAGCATTTTTTCCCAACCATAAAAAAATCGCACTTTGTAGTTTTCAACTTTGAGCGGTTTTGAAAACAATGCATGGACAATCGCTTTCCAGGACGTGTCTTGTTCAGAGCAATTGCATTCATCTGAACGTTTTGGGACTATATACAACAGCTAGCTGATATGTGACCAAACAGTTACTTCTTGAATTAAATAACAAAAAAGTCCAGCTCTGGTTAACGTGATAATTGATTGGTGATAATTCAGCACAATGTGAAGTAATCGCACTTATCCATGCCTCACCGCACACAAGGTGCTGTACAGTTACTCAAACAATTGAAATACAGCTTTTGCTTAAAAGTGTTCAAAAGCAGCAATGTTGAAACTACCTTTTACAGGGGTTTGCTTTTTTAAATGTCCGTTGTACAATTATAAGTAAATTTATATACTTGCGATTTTTTTGTCTGTTTTTACTTAAAATGCCGACTTGTGAGAACTTGCATTGAAATAGGCTTCAGAGTGTTCTTTTCAATGGTGTATCTACAAATTTTGACCCGATAATAAGCACTCATGCAAATCAAAACAATACTTCAAACGGAAATACGTCATAACGTAGAGGTATCCCATACTACCTTAAATCTTTTCACTTCAAGTTCAAGGGGGATAACTATGTCCAAAATCATTGGACCACAACCAAATTCAAACTTGACCTGTATTTTCTGGTAAAATACCTGCACATGCAATTTCAACCTTATACATACATCCCTACAAAAGTTAGAGAGCAGAAACTGAAAATTTATTTTTTCTCAGTTCAAGAGGGATTGTTACTCTGTAAAAATCATCAGACCATGACCAAATTTGAACTTAACCTGTATTTTATGGTAAAATACCTGTATCTTAACATAGATCCCTAGAGAGCAGAAACTGAAAATTTTAATTTTTCCCCTTAAGTTCAAGAGGGAAAACTCTGTCAAAAATCATCGGACCATGACCAAATTCAAACATTATTTGTGTATTCCTATGACATATCCTGTGTCAAATTTGAGTTGAATGTGTGCAACTGTTGCCAAGATAATGAAGGAAAGTCAATGATGACGGAATGACAGAATGATGAAACAGGGTAACACTATATGCCCTCCACCATTTTATGGCGGGGGCATAAAAACATTTGTGAATAAGCCATTGACTAAGTGAGGCCTAGAAGCTTGAACAAACTTTGTGCTTTCTATCACATTTCACTTGTGATCGAAAGCACAAAAAAAGCTTCCTGGATGGCTAACTTTTCAGATGTGGAGAACCCTGCCTACTGTTTTCATACTTTGTCTGTTATTACACAGTGCATGAAATGTTGTTGCAGTTCCCTTAATATGTAGTATTTAGCTGTTGAAACACTTCATGAAGTAATTCTTAGGGATGGTAACAATTTTTGAGCATTTCCCGTACGAACAAGTGAGGCGTAAACCAGCTGGATGAGACATGGAAACCAGCTGGTTTCTAGACGGAATTCAGAATTACGTGTCTTTACCAGGCGTACTTGAGCAGGACACGTATTCCTGCTCTTTGCACACACGGAATACGTGTCATTTTCCGCCTCTTGGGCCAGGCGTAATTCTTGTATCAGGCGTAACTTTTTAAAACCAGGCGTAACGCTGAACTTAGTAAAATTGGTAAGGCGTAATGTTGGACTTAGAAAAATTGGTGAGGCGTAATGTTGGACTTAGAAAAATTGGTGAGGCATAATGTTGGTCTTAGAAAAAAATAGAAAAGGTACAATGTAGGCAAAACATTATATTTCACTTTTCTTTTGTGAACAATAAATCCATTTGCAATATTTACAGTGAAATACTTTATAGATTAAAAAACTTTAAGATAAATATTTCAGCATTTGTGTTTGTCCTTCCCAACATCATTGTTGAGCAAAGATAATTTCTAGCTGAAATTACAGTCCCATCACAGATGCCCTTATAAGTTCCACCAGCTATATTTCTGTTAAACCACACTTGCATTTTGCTTTAAAAAAATCCATCTGGAAAAATAATAGATTGTGGAGTAGATTTATAACAGGTATTTCCAGAAAGAAGTTTTTGGTTTCTTGAATGGTGTTTGAAAAAATTCCTTTAGACAGATGACACAATCAACATTTTATTGGCCCCCAAACAACGATGACAATAAAAGTGGTAAACACCGTCACAAAGGTTCCTTAGTTTTTTTTTGTTTTTTTTTGGACAACTGTTAAATGCATATATGTCAAATGGTATATAAAATGTGTTCTGCTAGCATCACATCTGAAATTATGTTCAAAAGTCGTTGGATTCATCATCTATTATTAGTGCAAATCACAGCAAGCACTAACATGAATACTCTTATTGAAATACGGATGTTACAGAGCAAAGAATGAAGTTGGAAGTCTTGATCATCATGCTCCGTAACATTGCAATTTCTTCAGTGATATCATCCAAAATGTATTCCTCTTCATCAGATAAATCAGAAAAGAGAATACTTCCTCTTCATTATCAGAAAAATCCTCATCACTAAATTTTATGTATTTTTTTGGCAGTTGGGGTTCTTTGTTTCTTAAATGTTGTCATGTTACTCATCAAATCGTCCAGCTCAGACTCTTCATGGTCAGACATCTAATTCAAGAATAAAACACTACTATTATCCAGTTAATCAAATGCATGCAAGTGAACATTAATTTAATCGACTAAGATATATATATTAATTTTTTAAAAACCAGAAATTGGTGTGTAGGTTGTATTGTTACAAGCTATTCAATATGAACAAAAAAATAATTAATTTTCTTTAAACATATTGAGAAAAAAAAAATCGATGAGAACTCATTCGTATTTTTTTTTTCTCTTGCTTTACATGTACTGTATGATCATCAACAGCTGATCAAGTAGCAGGGATCTATATACGTCCCTGCAACTTGCAAAAAGTAAATAATTTTTAATCTAATAGTAAAGCGATACAAACAAAACAAAACAATGTTATTTAAGGTGACCTACCTCGCTCATGATGATTATTTCTGCGCCTTCGTCTTCTAACTTCAGAGTCGATTTGTTTCGAGATAATTCGGGTTGCAATCTGTAAAACGGAAGTAACATTCTATTAAATTGATTGTCGATCCCGATATATGTAGGTCGATCTTTTTTTTTTAAACTGTAAAATACTTACCGATAACAGTTTCCTAGAATCTTCTACAGTTTTCTCGCAATCAAAGATTCCTGTTCTTGTTATTTGCTAAATTTTACAAACGCTTTCCGTAAGTAACCTTCTTTTATTTTGTTTGGTTATTCCGTGATTTTCCAATGTGCCGAGAACAACTGTAAACTAAGGTGTTTTCTCAGAGGCCAAGGGGAATCGCCTTACAAAATGATCTCAGTGAAATTTATTGATCTACACATTGATTTTGCATCTTAAAAAAAAAATTCGACAAATTAATACTAAAAGAACGCATTTTATTATTTTGAGAGACGTTTTTGGGGGAAAGTTTGTAATAGCTTTTGTATCGATCCCGTTGTGAACCTCAACAGTAGAGCATCTTCGAACCGGGGCTGCAGAAACTTGATATCCCACGCTATCAAAATCCCGCCCGCATGGTCATTTCAAATTCTGTTGCTTTGAAAGAAACATTGCCCTGCCGATTTCTACTTGTTTCTGACAACTTGGTTTTACTTGAAAGTGAAAATACTTCGATGAGGATTGCAGTTTGACTGTCGTGGGAGAAAAAGACAAAACGTTGACAATAAGGACGGAATTCGAAGTGAGATACCATCATTCATGGCCCCATCATCAATGGTAAGAATTTTTTAGATTTTCATACTCCAGCGAGGTTAACACTTTGAAATATACCATATAGTATTATCTATAAAAATTTAAGAAATGTGCTTTTAAAATCATTCTGTTAACATGGTTAATGATTAGATTACATGTAGCATGCGTGTTTGTTTACACATGGAGACCTGTCGAATTTGTAAACTACTGCTGTTGTATACCCCATGATTTTTTTTTTAATTATCTTTCTATCGCATAATTATCATTTTTAGTATTTATCATTTCGAAAAAATATATACAAAACAAAAAATATACGAGGCATTTTCCACCTTTTTTTTTCTTCTAAAAAGTCGGGTTCAAGATGAGGGAAATATAAAGTCGCATGGATCACAACATGGTATGTCACCGTATGATGGTATGAATTATAAATTTGCCACACGGCGCGGTGGCTGTCTTAAAAATTTTACTAGACAAAATAATTACAGTAATTTTAATCAAAAGCTGTCGTGATAACAAATAGAGTGCACTTTCTGATAAGCTGACCATGTTAACATGGTTAAGGTGATGTTTAATGGGTTGCTACAATGCATAGGTGGATCGGAAACTTTTCATACCCAATATATATATATTCATAACTTTCTTGTATTTGTTCCTTCCTACTGACTTACAAGGGGTCTGTTTTGTGTTTCTTAAAAGGGGGGGGGGGGGGTCAAGCTCAGATATGCTACACAAAGCTCACATTTCTTGGTGATAATTTTGTTATATGTGTGTGTATTTGTAGATGATGAAGAGGAACTAACAAAGTTTGCTATTCGGCATGCAGCAAATTATTAGGAAACTTGCAGGAGAAAGCAAAAGATATTCCAGAGAGACTGTTTAATTTCTCAATCTAAACACAGAGAAAGCAAATGGGAAGAGAACAAGGGCTCCAACAGACAAAATAAAAGAAATTAAGGGACATGATGAAGAGTTTATCCCAAATAAAAAGAAGAAAAACACTGAGGATACAAGAGAGAAGAAACAGGAGCTAAGTCCCAAGGAATAGAAGATACCAAGTCACAAAACTCCTCCCTTGAGAAAACACTCTACTACCGACATTCTTTCATTGGTAGTAGTAGTAGTTATTAGCATTTCATCCCATGGAGGATTGTGTTGAGGTTAGATAATAATGAAAAAAATAAAAACCTAAATAAAGTATTTGTAAAATACACATTCAATATTTGATATATTTAACTATATGCACGGCTGTAATATATTTCTATTCCTATCATCCAGATAATCAAGAAGCAGGCTTCCTGTGTCCAAATCCTCCTTCTTCAGAAAAACCAAGGGAGAATGACCAGGATATTTCACCCCCTGGAATATCTGAAGGGGTAAGATTTTCATGCCCCCAATTGAAGGATTGGGGATATATTGTGTTTGGTCTGTCTGTTTGTTTTCCTGTCAACCCATTATGTAATACAACAATTTTTTTTCTCTAATTGTAAATACTGATCTTGTTGGACATAATGCATGTGATTTCAGACCTACATTAAAGCATGGCTACAATTTTCCTTCAGGTTATGCCCTTTAGTGGTGTGGAGAAAAAGAAGAAAAAAAGTGAACCAAGAACTGAACAATGCCATCACAGAGCAAGTCTCATTGCAGGACAAAAATTTAAAAAGGAACATGGGAAAGAAAAATATGAGAATGCTAAGAAGAGCTCAGTGCACGATACAAGATAAGCTAATGTAAAACACACTTATTGCGAAGTACAATGAATGAACAATTTTGATTAGGCGTAGTTCATTGTATCCATTAAGTTCACAGCAATATTCTAAAATTTAAGGAAATGAAAATCACTATAACCATGAATTCATTATAAGCATCTCTGCTGTAATACAAAGTCATCAGAGATTGGTATTTTCAAGATAATTTATATATTTTTGTATAATACAAATTTTGAATTTTCCTTAAATGGGAAGATTTATTAATGTAAAGTTTATTTGAATGACATTTTGTTGTCCATCAAAATGTTAAGAAAAACTGCCTTTGAATGTTATTTAAATTGATACTAAGATATGGATGTTTTGATAAAATAAATACTTAGTTTTCAAAACATGTAATGTATTTTGTATATATCATTGTGTACTGTACGCCTGGACTTTTTTACGCCTGGACATTTTTACGCCTGGACAGTACGATCTTTTACGCCTGGTCTATTGAAGAGGCGTAAAATTTGCATATTACGCCTCTTTTTACGCCTGGTTTCCGTCTCATTTGACGCCTGGTTTACTTATATGGTATTGAGTCAAAATCCGCCTGGTTTTTGCAGAGCATGACGCCTGGTTTACGTGTTATTACCAGGCGTACAATTTCGTACAGGTAATTTGCTCATGATAAATTTATATACAATTATCTACCAAATACAATAATTTTGTCTTGGAAGTAAAGAAAATTGTTCCCTGAATTACAGTATGACAAATGTGCCTGTCATTTTACTGTTTAACTGTTGCTTAATATTTTGATATATTTGAAATATTGTTTTAAGTTTGCCTTTTACTTTTAATTTTGATGTTTTTACTGTTTTGCTCCATTTTAACTGTCAGTTTTTAACAGTTATATATGGAATATTTAATCTGATAAACATTTTTGGTACTTCCACCCTGTTGTCCTGATATTTATACCATTGATATTTTACTTATTTTTTACCTGTTTTATTATTTTACCTGGTGTTTGATTTTTTGCCCATCAGGAATGAGTGAGACAAGTCTATGTACAGCACCACAGTCTATTTCCTCTCCACTACTTTTATGGGTTTTACTGAAAGCACAAACTACAATCATTAACAATGGCTACATATATCCACTTAATTGTATTGCAATTATTATGAATAATTCACTATGAACTATAATTATATCATGTCTTGAAACATAAAATTGTGTAATGTTGATGGTATTATCTAATTCATCTCGGAACAAATACAGAGGATGATATGCTCCATGTCTTGTTTACAGAAAATCGCTGTTATGAGGAAGTCGGCTCAATAAAACACAATTAATTTTCCTCAGGGGAAAAGGAAAAAATCCTCTATCATAATATGTTAACTGAATCAACAAGTAAATTGATTGGTATGTACCAATTGTTCACATAACAAAAGAAGCTCAATATTTTTCTGCACCTTAACACTTATATACATGACAATGGACATCCCACTTTTCAAGCTAGATTTTATTTAACCTCATGTCTGCTATTCTGCATCTATTTCACACTGCTTTTCCGTGACTGGTTTTAACTATAAGTTCTGTGTTATCTTCTTTATTTGATACCTCGACTTTCCATGATTTTTCAATGCCACAGACAGTGCTTAGCATCAAACAGTAGCAGATTATTTTCCTCAGAGTTCAAGTCACTAGTAGTGAGTATGAAGTGTGTATGAACTCATGGTGCATTAAAAATTTAATAGAATGAATTTCACATAGTGTTGGTGATATGTTTCAGAAGTCATGGAAATTATTCATATAAATGATACAAATTGTCGTAACCAAAATATAATATACATGTCATACAGAAAACTCAATGTTTTCAATAATGCAATAATCAATCTGTTTCTTAAATTCTGATGCAGCATAGAAAAAGTATGCAAAAGCTTTCATTACAACTAATGCAAAAAGAGTTGCTATGATAAGATTACCTTGCTAACAAAAGAGGTCCATTTTAAAATAAGTTGCGAAAAAGCAAAAAATTCAATCATTGAATAGCAGTATGATTTGTCCCTGAAAAGTAGAATTTTTTGTGGATAAAGCTGTGTTGAATCACAGAAAAGTAAAACAGCTATGAAGATATTCTTCAAATTCCTAGCTATCACCAAATTTACCTAAAATTAATCAACAGCTCTATGTAAACCAAAAAACTACATAGAAATGTGTAATGTCTGTATGAACAAGAGGCCCATGGGTCACAACGCTCATCTGAGTAACTTTGGCCTTGCTGTTTTTCACCTGATTCCCCCCCCCCCCCAGTACTAATTGTGGCCTCGCCCTACCCCAAGGGGTCATGATTTGAACAATTAGAATCTACACTACCCCAGGATACTTCCACTTAAGTTTCAGCTTTTCTGGCCCAATGGTTCTTGAGAAGAAGATTTTTAAAGATTTTTACTACATATTTCAATGTAAAACTTGGATTCCCTATTGTGGCCCCCCTACCCCCGGAGGTCATGATTTGAACAATTTAAAATCTACACTACCCCAGAATGCTTCCACATAAGTTTCAGCTTTTCTGGCCCAGTGGTTCTTGAGAAGAAGATTTTTACTACATATTTCAATGTAAAACTTGCATTCCCTATTGTGGCCACACCCTACCCCCAGGGGTCATGATTTGAATAATTTAGAATCTGCACTACCCCACAATGCTTTCACGTTAGTTTAAGCTTTTCTGGCCCAGTGGTTCTTGCGAAGAAGATTTTTTAATGACCCCAACCAATTTTTGTCTCTTCTTGATTATCTCCCCTTTGAAGGGGGCTTGGCCCTTCATTTTAACAATTTAAACTACCCTTCACCCAAGGATGCTTTGTACAAAGTTTGGTTAAAATTGGTCCTGTGATTCTTGAGAAGAAGTTGAAAATGTGAAAAGCTTACAGACGGACAGATGGACGACGGACAACAGGTGATCAGAAAAGCTCACTTGAGCTTTCAGCTCAGGTGAGCTAAAAAAGAAGCACCTAATTTATTACCTACCTAAGGATGCTACTAAAGCCATTGCGATGAGCTAAAAGTAGTGACCCCATTACCATTCCTAATGTGGTTCTACCATAACCCACATGGCAGGTAAACAACATCGCCATACTGGAACCATGTGTTTTGTCAAATCCACTTGGACATTCCTGTTTGCAGGATTTAAAAACAAGAATATATCAAGGGATGTAATCATAAATATATGGTTGGACTGTACAGATTATTACAAAAAGGTTACAATAGGCTCATTAAATCTATTACTTTCTCGGGACTTAATTTATAGTAGCCCACAGACTACAAACTTCCTCGATATATAAATTTTAGGACATATCTTTACATGCACACATATAATCCTGCTCTGCATGGTTATTACTTTTATATGAAAATATGGTGGATTCAAAGTATCACAAAAGTAAAAAATTTTACTTTTCATCAACATGTAAGGTTAAAAGTAGCATCTAAGTTTTGTAACTTGTCATCTACAGACTATGGTTAGCACTTAAAGTTTATCTTATACAGTTATGGACTCTTTCGGTGGTGAATATGGTTTGTTATTCGCCAGAAAAATATCAATATTGACCGAAGTCAAATTCCAACATCAAGTCAAGAGATCAAAATTGTTGGTTCCCACAGAAAGGTCTTGTCACAAGGAATACACCTGTGAAATATGAAAGCCCTTGCAGCAACCATTCAGAAATTATTATCAAGGTTAAAGTTTTTCAAAAGTTGCAGAGATAATGAACGGAAAGTGAATGATGACGGAATGACGGAACAGGGTAACACTATATAAAAAATACAAAAATATCTGTACTAAGGGAAGGTCTCATCACAAGAGTTACACATTTGAAGTATGAAAGCCATAGCACCAACAATTCCCAAGTTATGGCCAAGCTTAAAGCTTGGTGAAATTTTGCAAAAGTAGGTCAAACTCCTAGGTCAAGAGATAAAATATGTTTGTACCCAAAGATGTACCTTGTCATAAGGAATTCACAGTGAAATATGAAAACCCTAGCTCCAACAGTTCAAAAGTTATGGGCAAGGTTAAAGTATTAGCAGCCAAACAGAATAACAGACAGACGTACCGGCAGAGCAAAACTATATATGCCCTGAATCTTCGCTAAAAGGGCTGTAAAAATACATGTACCTATAAAGATGAAACAACTAAATGAATGAACAACCTCTAGAAAATACATTCACAGAATAAATATGTAATTCAACATTCTGTTTTATAAAAGGAGCAGATTTTACCTTGTAAACATCTATAAAGGAATCTACATCCATGTCACTAGGTGCAGACTCCTGAGGAAAGCACAGTCTTCTGTACCTAAAATAACAAGAATATACAATAACTAGACATCATTGAGATGGGTACTGTAGGACTGTATTTGGAATTTGAACTTGACTCCTGACTTACTTTACCCATAAACACTTTTTGGATGAGGAATGAGCCAAATGGGGCCAAGGGGATAGAAAATAAGCTCATGATAAAGATTTCACATAGAGATCTGTTATGACCCAGAAACTCAGTTAAAGGTCATTACACACTCTTAATTTATGAGCACTCTATGGGTAAAGGATGAGTCTTTTAAGGCCAAAGGAAACTTTGCTTTCAACAAGAATTGGCTTTGACTGAAATTTTAAGGTCAATGCACATCCTTTATCTACAGACACTTTATGAAGTTTGAGCAAAATTGGGCCAAGGGGAGACACAATATGCACTAGACAAGGATTTCACACAAAGCTCATCCTTAAATATTTACCAAGAGGCCTGGGTTCAATTGTCATTTGCCGCATTGCATCAAACACAAGATTTAAACATAGGTAGTCACTGTTCATTTGCCAAACACCCAGCATCAGATGTGAAAGTCATGGGTCTTTTTGATGAGACCTTAAAAACCGAAGCCCCACTTACGGTAGGCGTTAGCACAATAGAGAACCCTCATTGACCAATGACCCTGAGTGCCAAGTATAGGTCTAAATTTGTAGCCCTTCACCAGCATACGGTGATATCTTTATGAGTGAAAAATTCTTGAAGGAGACATTGAACGACATACACTCATTCAATCAATCCTCTTCTATGAGCACTTTATCTATGGGTGCATGAAGAATGAGCCAGACTGGGCCAAGGGGAGAGAAAGTAATCTCCAGACAAATATCAGATGGACAGACAGACAGACTTACAGATGGAGACAGAATGTAATCAGAAAAGCTAGCTCACTTAATCTTCAGTTTCTGCCCCCCCCCCCCAAAAAAAATAACGAAAGAACAAAAATCAAAGTTTAGTTAAGGTTGAAAAATACTAATAATGTTGCTATTAAATGAATTTGTAAACTTCTGGTGTCAGTGTTACACTATAAAATGAAATTACCTGCAACCTTAAACAAAATCAAACTGAAGTTGTTTTCTTTTAAGAAAATGATACAGACCTGACACAGTGAGAGCAGAGAATGTGCCTTGAGTAGACTTCCTCGGACACTAACAGGTGGTCCTCGTACTGTACATAAAACTCATGTGGTTCTCGATGAAGATTCTCCAAGTCCTTGTAAAAATAAAACTTGTTCTCCTCTTTTAGTGTTGCCAAGTCTATCACCTGTAATTATGAACAATCCAACTAAAGCAGTAATCTCTGATATGAAACAGTACTAGATCCACTTAAGTTATAGTACATGTACTTATAATGGTGGAAATGAGTCGCACCTCTCTGATACGAGACGGTACACTAGTTATAGTACAGTTAAACCTCGTTATCTCGAACTAGATCCACTAGTTATATTACTTATAATAGAGGAAGATAAGAGTTGTACCTCATTAAATGACAATACTTGTGTTCATGTGCATACAGATACACATACAATTTAGTCAATATAACCTTACCATCATAGCATTTACAGAAAATTGTATTTACACTTCTTGCGAGTTTCATGCAAGCAGTGGTAAGCTGTGAAAATGTTCATCTGTCTTTACATTTTTCTTCCCCCTTGATATTTTAAACATAATTATATGATATAGTCACACTCTCAAAGTTCTGTCTGTATAAAAGTCACTCCAGTATCTCTTTTCTTTCCACTCCATCACTTTTAATATTTGAAAAAAAAAAATTAAAGATGAATTCAGAAAATCTTAATTTCAAAGCAATGTCAAAAGTCAACAGGGGATGCTTACTCCTCCAAGGCACTTGATCCCCCCCCCCCCACCTGAACACACTCACAGTCATGCAACTGTTAAATAATATATCATGTAAAGCTTATCATTGACAGCTTAAAAAGATATCTCATCATTTAGATTAAACAAGAGGCCCAAGGGCCTTAACGGTCACCTGAGTATAATACAACAATTTAGAAGTTAAATACACTGATAGATGAAGCTTTGTTGCCCTAAAGCAAGAGAAGTAGGAAGATCAGGATCAACAAAATAATTAGTCTAGTATTCATTATCAACTCATAAATAAAGTTCTAATCTGTCCCCCACTTAACACTATCACATGCAGACTATTAACAAACTATTAGTGCATCTGTACTATTTTTAAACCCATATTAAGACCTCTAGCATTGACCTTTCTTATGGTCTTCGAAGAACTTTTAATAAGATAAGTTATTTTTGTCTCATTTTTATTTATCTATTACTTACAGGTTTACTGATTATTAAAACTAAGAAAATATTTTTGAATTATATGATAAACATTCTTGCATAATTATCTTATTCTATTAACCTTTCAAATACATTATTTACAGTGATTAATTATCAAAGGTGAATGGAAAAGGGGAATAACTTCTCTCAGTAGAATACAAATTAATAGAGCCCTGCCCAGGACTAGAATGCTGAGGCAAATGGTCCAGATGTTCAAAAATCTGGTAGAAATACGCTTACTTATATCATTTATACTTTTACTCAGTTTTCTTCCGATATGCCAAAAAGCAGAGAAGAATTTCACAGGTACAATGCATTTTCACTACAGATTCAACAAAGCCTTAACCTAACACCAGAACCCAAGACCAAGGGTCAAGAAATTTACAAATTTGGAAGAGTTACCCTCATCATCATAACTATGGACTTCAAAGAATTAACACTTTTCCACTATATTATCAAAAGCTCCCCCCCCCCCCCCCTCGTTATGCCAGAACCCCTGACCCTAGGACCACAAGATTTAAAAATTCTGTTCGAAGCTCCCATTTTCATCGTACCTAAGCAATTTATTTATCAGCTCAACGCTAAGGAGCAGACAGGATTAATTAACAGAATTAATGCTTTTTCACTATATAATCAATAGAGCCTCCCCCCCTTTCCTCAAGAACCCCAAAAACTGAGGCCATATATTTAAAAATTTTGGAAGAGGCATCCTTGCTTATCATAATCATGAACTTAGTTTGTTTAAATAATCTCCAGTAGCAGAGAAGAAGATTTTCAAAGAATCAATGCATTTTCACTATATAATCAATAGAGCCCCACCCTAGCACCAGAACCCCTGACCCTGGGGCCATGAAATTCACAATTTTTGAAAAAAGGCATACTTATGCATCATAACCATGCACTTAGTTTGTTTAAATAATACCCAGGAGCAGAGAAGAAGATTTTCAAAGAATTAATGCATTTTCACTAAATAATAAATAGAGCCCCTCCCTAACATCAGAACCCCTGACCCAGGGGCCATGGCTTTCACAATTCTGGAAGAGGCCCACCTCTTCATCATAACTATGTACTTAGTTTATCACCTTAATGCCCAGGAGCAGAGGAGAAGATTTTCAAAGAATTAATGCATTTTCACTATATAGTCGATAGAGCCCCACCCTAAAACCAGAACCCCTGACCCTGGGGCCATGAATTTCAAAATTTTGGAAGAGATACTCTTGCTCATCATATCTATGTACTTAGTTACTTTATAAAATATCCAGGAGCAGAGAAGAAGATTTTCAAAGAATTAATGCATTTTCATTATATAATCAATAGAGCCTCGCCCTAACATCAGAACCCCTGACCCAGGGGCCATGAATTTCACAATTTTGTAAGAGGCACTCTTGCTCATCATAACTATGTACTTAGTTACTTTATTCAATACCCAGGAGCAGAGAAGAAGATTTTCAAAGAATTAATGCATTTTCACTATATAATCAATAGAGCCCCGCCCTAACATCAGAACCCCTGACCCTGGGGCCATGAAATTCACAATTTTGGTAGAAGCACTCTTGCTCATCATAACTATGTACTTAGTTACTTTATTTAATACCCAGGAGCAGAGAAGAAGATTTTCAAAGAATTAATGCATTTTCATTATATAATCAATAGAGCCCCGCCCTTACACCAGAACCCCTGACCCTGGGGCCATGAATTTCACAATTTTGGAAGAGATACTCTTGCTCATCATAACTATTGTACTTAGTTACTTTATTTAATACCCAGGAGCAGAGAAGAAGATTTTCAAATAATTAATGCATCTTCTCTAAATAATTAATAGAGCCCCGCCCTAACACAAGAAACCCTGACCCAGGGGCCATGAATTTCACAATTTTGGAAGAGGCACTCTTGCTCATCATAACTATGTACTTAGTTACTTTATTTAATACCCAGGAGCAGGGAAGAAGATTTTCAAAGAATTAATGCATTTTCATTATATAATCAATAGAGCCCCGCCCTAACACAAGAACCTCTGACCCTGGGGCCATGAATTTCACAATTTTGGAAGAGGCACTCTTGCTCTTCATAAGTATGTACCTAGTTTCTTTATTTAATACCCAGGAGCAGAGAAGAAGATTTTCAAAGAAATAATGCACTTTCACTATATGATCTATATAGCCTCACCCTAGGGCCAGAACCCCTGACCCTGGGGCCATGAATTTCACAATTTTGGAAGAGGCACTCTTGCTCATCATAACTATGTACTTAGTTACTTTATTTAATACCCAGGAGCAGAGAAGAAGATTTTCAAAGAAATAATGCACTTTCACTATATGATCTATATAGTCCCAACCCGGGGGACAGAACCCCTGACCCTGGGGCCATGAATTTCACAATTCTGGTAGAGAGCTCAATGCTTATTACAATCATGCCAACAGTTTGACTGCTTGATATTATAATCCTTGAGTAAAGAAGAAGATTTTTAAACATTGCATTATTTTTGGTGGTTTTAGCCCCACCCCTCAGGCCCCAGGGGGGCAGGGACCATGAAATTCATAATTTTTGTTCCCCTTCACCCATAGATGCTATATGCCAAATTTGGTTGAAATTGGTTAAGCGGTTTCAGAGAAGAAGCTAATAATGTTCAAATGTTAACACACGATGCACGACGCACGCCGACGGACGAGAACGGATAGCAATAGGTCACCTGAGTGACTCAGGTGACCTTAAAATTCAGAAATACCAAATAACAAAGAAAGACAACTCTAAGACTTAAAATTTTGTCAATATTCTGAAAATAGATTTTACACATCTTTACTAATTCAAAGTAATTCCTGATCTAACTCTTGAAATTTTATTCTAAAAAGTGAGATAACCTATTATAATCTTGCTTGATGAAACAGAAATTCTTTGACCTAGCATAAACAACAATTTTACAGCATTTTTAAATGCAGCAATTGAGCCATAAAAATGAGCCAAACAGTGCTCAATGACAACCTTCTAAAAGTTAATAATGTGACAGTTGCTGGTTGTCTATGGGGGTTTTCAAGCCCATCAAAATTAACTTTAACTAACAGTACAATCCAGAAAGTATTATACTATGTCATGTTGGCTAAAATGCTTGAATTTATGTATTTTATGTAGTATATTCATTGTTCTGAATTGATCAGTTCATCCTTCGATCACATCCACATTAAAACTATCTAAAGCTTTCTCGTTTTCACTATGAAATTTAAGAAGTGTAAGTTAACGTAAAAAAAAAAAAATATAGAGGTAGAGAAGAAACTTTATTTAATTGGTAATTTCTAGTGGGAAATCAGACAGACTAATTAAGGTTTACTTGTAAAGCTCATGTCGACAGTTACTGAGGCAATTTAATTAAAGGATGACACCTTTGAATGAAGTAATGTTACTTTGATGAGGCTGTGTCCTTAGTGTATTCAGCAAGTCAAAAGTAACATTGTATCTATCAAAATATTCACCTTACAACACCAGCCAGAATTTGTCCCATTACACTAAAATACGCCTATTGAAAGTACACCTGTCCAGAATATATATATGCAGATCACTTTTATTTGTATGATTCCCTTTTATATTTCATGACTACTTTTAAAGACGATATAGTAGCAATCAGACAGTAAAACATATTTTCTTAAACATATATTTCCCTCCGTACTTTTCCTCACTGAAGTTGGCAGATGTATTTTGGTATGGCCCATTGCTGTCTGCAAAAAATCTAGATTCCAATCAAATTTATGCCGTGTTTTTCTAAATGTATTAATACATGCGTTTTATTCAATTCAAAAGAATTACACAAGAGTCAAAGAATTCCTTTTACACATGAAATCACCTAAAATATATATTTATATTTTAAAAAATAAACATTTTTAAAAGAAAAGGTTTGGAAAGGATTTTTAAAATGCTCGATCCTACACCAAACAGGCAAACAAAGGTATCAGATATAATAAATACAACTTATTT